TGGAAAGTCCTTGTCAAAGGTAATAAACTTGTGAAATATAGCTCTTCAAAATTTCACCAAGGTAAAAGTTTTGTTAATATTTTTAAAAAGTATATCAAAATTCAAGGTTATAGATTAGGCCTATATAAGATCATAGGGTGAAAAAAACATAAATGTAGTACATTTGGAAAGGTCTTGTCACGGGCACTGTATAAAAAATTTGAACCTCCCATCTTTTTTCGCTCAAAAGTTATGACATGCAAGGTTCAAGTATTAAAAGCAACAGGTGAATAAGATTTAATGTCTTCTCACTTTTGCAAAAGTAGGGGACAGAAAATAGGATTGAAGTTTAATCTTCATTTTATGTATTGATTTCCTGTGTTTTGATTCAAAAGTCTTAGAAAAAATTTACACATCCATAAATTTTTTCAAAGAACTACTTTCTTGATAAAGCACAGTTAATAAACATGATTGATATATGCCTAAATTATGAATACAAAAAACTTCAAATTTAATATTAAAACAAAAAAAAGTTCTCACGGACGCTATGAAAATGTTTATGTCACTGTAAAAGTGTTTGAAAAAAAATTGTTAATATTTTTAAAAAGTATATCAAAATTCAAGGTTATAAATTATATACTATATTGTTCCGCAATCTTTTAACAATCAAGTGCAAATCGAAGGCATCGTCGGTCTGCAACTTTCGCTATGAGAGTTGTCGTTCATGTCAACATGGCCATGGTCAAGGACACTTTATGTAAAATAATTACGATAACCTAAGTTTCTTTATCGATTGTTTTGACAACTTAAAGATCTCTATCGAAAAGTTATGCGACATGCAAGGTTCAAAGAGAAATAATTTAAAATTTTTTAAAACAGGTGAATAAGATTTGAAAAAATGTCTTCTCACTTTTGCAAAAACATAAAAGTGCTTTGCACTTTTATTTAGTTTGTGAGTAAAATGTAGGTTTACACATTAAATTTTTACTGAATATAAAAGAATTCCTTTTATAAAACTTTTAGCAAAAATTTATTTTCAATTATGTAATGCTATTTTTCAAAAGTTAAATAAAACAAAACCCTGTGACATTTAAGGGAAGTCAGGTCATTATGTCATGTCAAGAGGTGTTAGTGACACTGGTCTTTGTGTGTTCCAGCAGATTGTACAATTAAACTCTCCATAAATACCTAAATAGCACGAAGGTCTTTCTGAGAAGTCGATTTACATTGTTCTTCTCAAAAGAAGTCAGTTTTATCCAGAAAATGTCAAATCATCAGTAGAATGATGCGCAAAAATTTTGAGAACGAACATTCACGTATATGCTTACCAAGTGGTTACCTTGACAAATTTGGCTGAAATTGTCAGTGTTAAACACAGAAATCAGTTGTTTTTACTGGCTCTTCCTAAAACTGGAGATGTCTGTGTAAAGTCTGTGCCTTGTAATGGGAAACACAGGAGACAAGTGAATTATACTCTCATGGGGGCTTTACTTAAAACCAAAGGATGTACAAGATCAGGATATCAGCATTGTATATCAGGTACAGCTACATATTCTAAATTAAGAAGAAGGAATAAGTAGACTCAGGTGGTTAGTGTAGAATTATTTTGATGTCTTATTGTCTTTCTTTATAGCAAAATTAGTTTTCGTAAGTGAATTTAAATTCTTTACTACTTTAAAAATAGTCTGTGTGCAATATATTTTTTCTATTAAAATTTATTAACGTTGCCTTTTGGAATTTTTTAAGAAGGCTACACCATAACTTTTCCCCCTTGCAATATTTAAATGTTTAATGCTTTTATTCTGAAGCAAAAAAAAAAAAATATATATTTTTGTAATTTTTAGTGCTTGGAAGTGTTTAAAACTGTTATCATGCTCTAAACATGTAATACTTCTTTATATATGATTGTGAGTACAAGGCAATTACAAGTATACTTGTATACAAGTATTAGAATAGACATTTTTTTTTTAAGTCTTGGTATATTTCAATTCTGTACAAAGATTTTAAATTTACATATTGAAAAGTCAAGAAATTTGATATTTAATAGAAAAAAAATGAATCACCTTGGTCTTGAGTTCATTTCTTTATCATGTTTGTAATTAGTAACCAGATGTTAATTGGAACGTTGATGTTTTTTAACAAGTCATGTATTGATTAGAATGTAATGAAGTGTCTGTAAGAAATATTGCATAAAACTGTATACTTGTGTTAAAGAATTCTACATTTAGCTGTGGAGTTTGACTATTGACTGTGAGATATGAAACAGATGATAATATTCTCAGGAGAAATACATTGTTGGACATTGTTTACTGGTCAATGTTGGACTTTTGAAATGGTCTGCAAATAGTCTTATAGGTTTTTTTGACTGTGCAGAAAGCACAAGCATTTAGCCATTGAATAAATTCTAACAATCTGACAGCAAGCAAAAAATAATGCATGTCCACAGTAAATCAAGCCCAAAAGACTCGTATAGGATTCTGGTCGACAAATCTGTGTGATATATGGAGGAATTATGTTTCTTGCAAATTGCTACCTACAGCCAGTAAGGAATTCTGACCAAATACAGGAGAAGTCATTGATATGTCAGAGAGCTGATATCACTAGAAGTGGTTTCAAAGAGAGCTCATCATTAATCAGGTAAATGAAAAAGAGGATGATCTGATATATTTCATCTAGGTACCAAGTAACACTGTAAATATTGTTAGTTTAAACTTGCTAAATTTAAAGCACAACTGAGCTTTTGCTCACCTGAGTTGAAAGCTCAAGTGAGCTTTTGCTTTCCTGATTGAAAGCTCAAGTGAGCTTTTGCTCTCCTGAGTTGAAAGCTCAATTGAGTTTTTGCTTTCCTAAGTTAAAAGCCCAAGTGAGTTTTTGCTTTCCTGAGTTAAAAGCTTAAATAAGTTTTTGCTTTCTGGAGTTGAAAGTTCAAGTGAGCTTTTGCTCTCCTGAGTTGAAAGTTCAAGTGAGCGTTTGCTTTCTCGAGTTGAAAGTTCAAGTGAGCTTTTGCTCTCCTGAGTTGAAAGTTCAAGTGAGCGTTTGCTTTCTCGAGTTGAAAGTTCAAGTGAGCTTTTGCTCTCCTGAGTTGAAAGTTCAAATGAGCGTTTGCTTTCTCGAGTTGAAAGTTCAAGTGAGCTTTTGCTCTCCTGAGTTAGGAGCACAAAAAAGCCTTTTGATCACTTATTGTCTGACATTCAATCTTCTAACCAACCATGGCAAAGAGTAGCCTAACCTTGTGTAAATTAAAGGAATTTTAAATTGTTAAAAGAAGGGCCAAACCCCCTTCCAAAAGGAGATAATCAAGAAGCAAATCTTTTTAAACTGTCGAGGCAACATATTAAGGGTATCAAAGTTTTACTTGGGACTACACATACGGTAGGAAAAATCTCAAAAAATGTTCTTTCAGAACCATGGGTCTGTTACTTTTATTCTTCGATTAGTAAAGCTCACACTAGCCTTTGGCTCAGGTGAGCTAAAAATGGAATTTTAGTTTAGAAAATCCAGATTGAAATGTTAATGTGATTTCTCTCATTTATATAGACATGTTTATGGAAGGTTCTGTGCTGGTTGTTTTCAGTCATAATGATGACAGCAACACTTGTAGTTCTTGAAAAGTTTTTAAAACGAATTATAAACCCTACTTTATTATCGTAAATATTACTTTAAATGACTTGTCCATGCATTTAACAATGCTTTTGCTTTTATTGGCATGTCTAACTTGATTTTATGTTCATAAGAAATTTTTTAAATCCTTATATATTTTGTTGTTTTTTCACACCTGTAAGTAAATAGGGGGAAAATGTACCGTGTATATGGATTGTGCTCTATTAATTTCAATGTATAGTACAAGTATGTCATTTAATATTTCTGAATTGGAGGTTGTGGGTGTTTTGTAGGAGGTTTCTTTTTTCCCAAGTTGAAATGAAGCAACTTATTTAATTTTTTAAAAAGGTTAACTTGCAAAGCAAAATAATGTAGAGGATCAGTGGTTTTGATTGGCAGACCATGTTCAATTCTCTGATCATGAATTCAGAAAGTGAAATACATTTTACACTTTGAGATGCATCCCAGCAGAACCAGAAGTTTATGGATTTATTAAGTTTGATGTGGATTAACTCAGTATATTATTATGTACATGTAAGTGACAATGAAAGTATAGATTTGAAAAATATTTTTAAATGAAGAATTTTAACTCTAAATCAAAATGCAATGAGAAAATTGTCAAAATGCAATGAAAATTATTTTCTACATACGTAGCTGAAAATGGGTAAAAGTTTACAGGTATACATGTAAATTTTACCATTTTGTATGTGATTAAGGGTATTGTAATGGTCCTTGCATAAGTACAATTTTATAGTGAGAATGATTTTTTTCTTTAGGAAAAGGAATATTTGCTTGTGAGAGTACAATAATAAGTATTAAATTATTTTACCTCATTATAATTATTTTATACAATTTATCTGATTGGTTCTAGATAATCATGTGACAGGGCCATAAAACATCATATTTCCTTGTCATCAGCATGTTTTTCATCATATATAACCTCTTCAGATACCTTCTGCATTTTTTTGCAATAGTTATTAGTTATCGTTATTTGAAAGATAACTCCCGAGAGAAGTAAACAGCACAAATCAAAATCTTATATGTGGCTCATATACATGTAGGTTATATATTTTTTTTATGCAATAGCTTTTATTCTCATACTATAAACAAACAAAGAGAGATGTTGTTTACATTTTTGTCTCTACAAATAATCATATAAAATAAGATCAAACATGTTACATATTGTATTATTGACATCCATCATTTCATTGTATATTTCATTGATGGAAGAGCCAATGCTCAGAAATCTAAACAAATGGCTTGATAAGCAGCATTCAAGCATTAATAAATGAACATGGTTTTCAAAGCCACAAAGAAATGAAGGAGATATTATTAAGTGAATGTTATTATAATTAATGTATTTTTGTGGATAATTTTATACGCAATTTTTGCTAAGCTGAAATTTGAATTTTTTTGCACAGAACCATTCCGGACCCTGGAAGTCAGAAACTGAATTGGAACAAACCCCCTCTTACTGTCCTGGTCATTAAGAAGATGCATGATGAGAACGCATTGTCTGCATTTACCCAACTTGTCAAGTGGCTGATTCAGGTATTGTAGTATAGAAATCAATTCTGAAGATCAGTAACTGTGAATATATGTTTCTTGCTGGATGATGTATGATCAGGATTAATTGCTGATGTATCATGAAAAATACAAACATTTTCTAGATGAAGTGCTTGAAAACAGAATGTCCTCTAATAACAAAAACCAACCAGTCTGTTAAAGGCTTTACATTTTTGTCTCACCTACGAAAATAATCATATACATTTTGTCAAACATCCGTACATCTGTGTGTTCTGTAAACTTTTCACATTTTCATTGTATATTTCAAGAACCACTGGGCCAATTTTGACCAAACTTGGTACAAAGCATCCTTGGGTAAAGGGGAATTTAAATTGTTAAAATAAAGGGCCAAGTCCCCTCACAAGGGGAGACAAAGAAAAGACAAAAATAGGGTGGGGTATTAAAAAATCTTCTTATAAGAACCACTGCCAGAAAAGCTGAAACTTATGTGGAAGCATTTAGGGTAGTGTAAATTTAATTTGTTCAAATCATGACCCCCGGGGGAAGGGCGGGGCCACAATGAGGAATCAAAGTTTTACATAGAAAATATATAGGAAAAATCTTTGAAAATCTTCTTCTCAAGAACCACAGGGCCAGAAAAGCTGAAATTTATGTGGAAGCATCCTAGGGTAGTGTAGATTCTAAATTATTCAAATGATGACCCCCGGGGGAAGGGCGGGGCCACAATGGGGAATCAAAGTTTTACATAGAAATATATAGAAAAAATCTTTGAAAATCTTCTTCTCAAGAACCACTGGTCCAGAAAAGATGAAACTTTTGTGCACATGGAAGGATCATGGGGTAGTGTAGATTTCAAAATGTCTAAATTATGATCAGTGGGGTAAGGGTGGGGATGCATTATGTATTACAAGGGGGAAATCTGGTAAAGAACAGAATGGTCAAAGTTTCTCAGGTGAGCGATGTGGCCCATGGGCCTCTTGTTCATCAGAGCAGTGATTGTCTTGAATGTTAGCTGATTTAGTGTATTAAGTTGCAGATCTACAGTTCACTGATCTGAAAAATTGGGACATGACCTCAAATTCTTTTTAAGCTAAAGATCTGCAAGTTACTTGGGTAACACCTAGCTCAGGGCCCATAAAACTTTGACGAGCTCGCTTTTGATCCTAGTCTCACATTACGTAAGGAATTATTAGTAGCAAGTGAGACTGAGATGAAGATTGAGCTCATCTAAGTTTTATGGCTACAGAGCCAGATCTGTATCTATTTATGGAATATTCTTTTTTTTCAAAGGATAAGCATATGGTTGTGTACGTAGAGAAGGCGGTTTTTGATGACGCCATGTGTACAGGCAGCCGAATGTGTCGAGAACTTCAGAAACAGATAAAAACGTTTGAAGAAGGTCAGTAAAATGCTTATAAACACAATCCAAAAGAAATTTGTTAGCCAAGAAATAAAATGATTGAGTTCTAGCTAAGAAATTTGTTTTATAGATAAAGATGACTTGACCAACAAAATTGACTTTGTCATATGTTTGGGAGGGGATGGTACTTTGTTATATGCATCATCTCTCTTCCAGGTGAGACACCATTGGCAGAATTTTTTCTTAATTTTATTAATTGATAATTAAATTTTAACAGTCCCCATAGTCTAATTTTTGAGTTAAAGTGAGTACAAAGCAGATTTTTGTTGTTATAGGCCAGCATGCCTCCTGTGATGGCTTTCAACATGGGATCCCTTGGATTTTTAACTCCATTCAGTTTTCATAATTACAAGGAACAAGTCACACAAGTTCTTGAAGGTATTGATTGATTTGCAGGTTTGAATTTTACAGAAAATTATACAGAAAATTTAGCAATCACCAAGTCCAACTCTGACAAAAATACGTGGAAGGAAATGAGATTATAGGGAGCATTTTCCAAAAATACTTCCTGTTTTAAAGTGGTAGAGATAATTGTCAATTGCCTCCCAGTACAATATCCACTCTATAAAAAATTCAGTACATGTATGTTGTTATTCTGTATATTGAAGACTGCAACAACCTGAAAAACAACAGTTGAGTCCTATTTTCACAAAATTTCAAAAGATCATACAGAAGTTTTGAAATAATTATTTTGAAAGTGCAGTTCAATGTACATGCATACTTTCCCTGTATATTGTATAGTATTAAATATTTAAAAATGACTTAAGCAGAGAGTGACAATTATATTGTTTTTTTGTGTATCACAGGAAATGCAGGCTTGCTCCTGCGGTACAGACTTAAGTGTGTGATATGTAGGAAGGACTCCCACATGGCTAAGATCCCACACGTGAAGCAGATCCAGAGGTCTCACAGCACTGTTCAGTCCAAAACCCATCTACTTGTAAGTACAGTCTTATCCATTTACTTTAAAAGTCAGTCTCACATTAATACATTGAACTTGTCCAGACAAAATAAGAACTGTACTTACCAGGGTAATCTATATTTAAGTTTCATTGAGATACTATAGTGAGACTTGAGCCCTTAGTTGACTTACTCTTACTTTCACATCTCCAGTTTTTGACCATTATTCAACTGTGTTAATTAAATGGAATATGTATTAGGCAGAACAAATGTTATTACTGTAAGCATAACAAAATATGGACAGGGATTTGCAAGGATGAAACCCTAACAACTCCATTAAAATTTTATTTGTCAGGTGTTCAATGAAGTAGTGGTAGATAGAGGCCAGTCTCCCTACCTCAGCAATATTGACTTGTACGTGGAGGGCAAGCTAGTCACCACAGTACAGGGGGATGGTGAGTGTACCAGTCACCTTAATCTAGAACTATAATGTTTTTGATTTTGATTAAAATATAGAAAAATAAGTATATACTGGTTTATTGGTATGCCAAAATCTAGACTTTTTTTCATTTTGAATAATAGATATGATAACTGTTGGTGTAGAGAATTTCTCTCAAAGATTTTGAACTGAGTAACCACATTGACATCAGAGTTGTTGCATTTAGAGAACTTCTCTGTGAGATTTTGTAATTTGTAATGGGTAATCAATTTACTTGGTAAATGATGTTCCAGGTCTCATCATCTCTACACCGACAGGAAGTACGGCCTACGCAGTGGCAGCTGGAGCATCCATGGTCCACCCTAATGTCCCCGCAATAGTCATCACTCCCATCTGTCCTCACTCTCTCTCATTCCGACCTGTTGTCGTCCCAGCAGGAGTAGAAATTAAGGTAAAAGACTCAAATCAGTATTACTAGGAGTGTACAATTCATAGGTTTTCTTTAAAAAAACTAAAAACACTGAAGCCTTATTAATAACGATTACAGATGGTAAAAATTTCGTAGTTTATAATGTTGTAAGTTATTTGAATTTTGTTCCAGATAATGGTCTCACCAGAAGCTAGAAATTCAGCTTGGGTGTCACTTGATGGAAGAAATCGACAAGAAATTTTTCAAGGAGACAGGTAAATTTCCAATTTTAAAATGAAAGTTTCTTCAGAGCAACTGACCTGTTTTGCCATTAACCTGTAATTCAGGATTTAAACGAATGCAATATTCATGAAATTGTGAAAGAAAATGTATATATCTGTTCATGAGCTATTGATTTGGTGTTTCAGTGTTCGAATCACCACAGCTCAGTACCCAGTTCCCTCTGTATGTGCTAAGGATCAGATGGATGACTGGTTTGAATCTTTGGCCGAATGTCTCCACTGGAATGTCCGAAAACCCCAGAAAGCCATGCCAGGTCTCACAGAATCTCCCAGTACAGCCAGTATTAATGATAGCAGTTAACGGAGGCTTCACGCTTGCTCTCAAGACATTATCATTATCATATCATTTTGCTCAAAACTGGACTTTCTTTTCATGAATCAAGGTTTTCTTCAGGGAGTCATTGTAAATAGAAACCATTATTTGCAACTTTATACACAATCCACAGATAACCATCAGCCACATTTTTAACCTTATACTTTGGCTGCACAGGGCAGATGTTGACTGTTGTTTTTTTTTAATAATAATGAAAGAGATTTTCAGAGGTAATAGTCCTTAATATGGTGTTATTAAGTCTCCAGAAACAAAGTTGTTAAGAAATCTTTCGTAATGTGCATTTAGTTATCATCTGCCTGTCTTGAGAGAAATATTTAACATAAGGATTGTTATTATCTTTTTTTTTTTTGCTTAATATGAAAGGGTATGCAAATCAAAACTGTGGATGTGTTACATCTTTCAATTTTTAATGAGATGCAAGACACGATTTTGGCTAAAAGAGGACATCTATAATTTTCAACTACCGGTAATGAAACAGAAGTCCATTAGCTTTATGTTATTTTAAAATATACATAAAGTGTCATAAAGTGCTAGAGAGATTTCACTTTGCTTTTGAGTTAGTTGAGTTAAAGTTGGAATTATACTTTAATGTGTTCAGACAAACATTGCAAGCATATATACAGTTAAACATGCTTTTAACAAATATTGATGCTTATAGCAAAGTGATTTTCATTCCATGTGGGTTTTAAAAATATTTTGAAGCTAACAGATATAAGGAATTATAATTATTATGAAGCAAAATCGCCTCTCCCTGGCACATGATATAAACATGTTTTACCATATACTACAACCTGAATTGTTTAAACCTGCAATATGTTCCTGTCAGTGGTCAACAGTATTCCTATCTACAAGAATTTCTTTTGTAAATAATGAAGCAAAAGTAATTTCAAGCTGCATCCCCAGATATCTAATATCAAGGACCCCATTATTCTTGAAAAAAAGTAATTTCAAGCTGCATCTCCAGATATCTAATATCAAGGATCCAAATATTCTTTAAAATTACGGTAGTCAAAATCTTTCCTATGCAGGCATGGGTCTCTTGGAGGAACTGTGGTTATTATATTAACTTCTTTAGATGGAAACATTTTTGTGTTCATTACTTTTGCATAGAAGATAAAAGGGAATATGAGCTTGGAAATTGAAATTCATATCATTTTGGTGAAGGCATTTGCATTTTGCAAGTGTGTGAACATTTAATATGATCTCATATTATGTAATGATCATTGTTTTAGATGCTCTTTAATGTTTTAATAGTTGATACATGATAATGAATGATGAAACAATTTTAAATTGTTACATGTTTTATACTTGAATACAGTGGATATGTCGAAGTGATTTTGAAGTCTCAAGTGCTTATTTCTTTAGTATTTTACCCACAATATCTCGAATCCTCGGATATCTCGAAGTATTATCTCAGTCCCTTCAAGTTCGAGATAACAAAGTTTGACTGTATTATACATAAACAATGGTTCTGATTTTGTAAATACATGTACAGATGTACATGTTTACATGTAATGTTTTTTTTTTAAATTCCACTTTCTGGAGAGCAGAACTTTCCATTTTGCAAACATGGGATATACGGCATGTTAAAGAGCAGATTTTATTGTCATTATCAAATATCTTAACTGATGATAGTGTGATTATTATTGAATAACTCCACTAATGATTGTATAAGATATCTTAATGATGTCAATTGCACTGGAAGTTTTGACCAAGAGAGAAAAACTTAATGAAACTAACAAATTGACTATTACAAAAAACAAAACCAAACTTATCTGAATATTAAACAGGGACCAAGTTTTTGTTAACATTTCTATGAATATCTAAACATGTTTAAATGTTACCCTTTCCCCCAAGCACATCTCCATTACAAGTCTTTACATGTAGCCAGATTGAGAAGCAAAATCGGAGGCCTGTTCAACAGAGTGAACATTTTGGAGCACTGGCCAAAATTCTTTATACAGCAAAGTTCGGTTATAACGAAGTCACTGGGACCTATGAAATTACTTCGCTATATCCATAATTCGTTATAACTATTAAACAAATTCATTATATTTATATAGATCCAAGATGACTTTGCTCTATCTGTGAATTCGCAATATCCGTGTTTGTACTAAACGAGTTTTACTGTACCTCCAATAGAAATGTTGGTCAGTTCTTGCTCTGTTGATGAGGCCTCAGGTTTGTGTTTTGATGATGTTTAAGCATCCAACAATAACAAAGATTTTGTTTTGCATGTGATTGAATGTGTCAAATAAATGTTTTTTTGTTTTTTTTTTATTTCAATGTTTGTACACCAAGCAATCCATCCAGTGCTCAGAAAAATAATTGGCAGAAGGTTCATTGCTTCTTGTTTTGAACAAATTTCAAGATTCTTGTTTCATTTATGTACATGGAATTTTCTGCTTAAAACCCTTATTGTTATGATTGAAGATGCAATGTCATGTTTAAAGATTTTCATGGAGTATTTTAATATTTATATTGAATTTTTATTATTTGTTATAAAATAAATAGTACTATTGCTGATATTGGCTACTGTTTTTTTCAATGTATATAGATGTGCTTCATTTGAATATGCAAGAGTTACACATAAGAAACTTTTAAGTCCTATATGGCCTCAAGTAAATTCAGATATAATAGGAGGCAATAACTTTTCCAATACGCTCATTCTATTTCCACATTTAAAGCAAAAAACTTGAACTGTAAGTTGTGGTTCTCTTTTCAAAAAATATTTTTCTGTTGAATATTAAGGTCATAAAACAAACAACCCTGAGCTCTGTGGAGTCAAGTATTCTTCAAACATGACCCCGTGGGGCCAAGTTGTGGATTCAAATCTTTTCGTAGAAATAAAGAGGGCAAAAAATCGGTTTAAAAATCGGATGATAACAGCATGGCCAAAATGACTCAGGTTAGCACTGTGGTCCTTGGCCTCTTGCATAAAAAATAACATTAACAGGGATACAATGTGTTAAAGAAAATGTCCACCAATCATATGGTGATTTATAAAATAAACTAGATTGTGAAAATTTGTAATTGTTTAATAACAGCAGTAAATTGGGAAAAATTAAAATTGTAAATACACATCAACAAATTAACAATTGATAACAATGAAGAACAAGTTTTTCCTTCTTACATGAACTAAAATCCACCAAAGGAGAAAGAGAAACTAGTTTCTTTGGATTCCATTTGACTACCACCTGTTTCATTTCCAAACACTGACAAAAAATTGTCACATTTATCTCCCTTAGCAGATTCCCCTCCAAACTGGAACGAATCTCCAAAGCTAAATCCTCTCGGTTCCGCAGATTTTGTTGTGGAATCATCGAAGGTGAATCCTTGTGTGTCAGGGGATCCAGTTGTATTGATATTATAATATAATTATAAAATACCTGAAGATGAAAGAAATTTTCTGAGGACTGGGAAAGCTGAATCCTCTTGATTCTGCAGATTTTGCTGTGGAATTGTCAAAACTGAATCCTTGTGGTCCAGGGGATCCAGTTGTATTGCTCTGAAAGCTGAATCCTTCTCCGCCAAGGTTAAACTCGTTGAATCCTTAGAGATAAAATGATTGTTTTAAGTCATGTACTCTAAAATTATTGTTACAGTGAAATACTTACAAAGAAATACCGGTACTGATTTTTAACAGCAGAGTAAACTGTTTTCGGCAAGCAACACAAAACAATATAAAGTTGTTTTCATATATATATAATGCTATATAATGAATTCACAATATGCATAACACAGGAATATAAATCATCCATAGATGTTATGCTAGGTACCTGAACACTGGTTTGGGCTCCCTTCATCGTATGTGTTGAACTTATTCATACTGAATGGATTTACATTTGTTTCTTGCAGTACAAAAGATGAAGTCTCTGGATTTGCAATCTTTGAGTTAGGATTTGTCTGCAATCAAAAAAAGTGGATGTCAAAACTCAGTGACTTCACTAGGTCTGCATGCATTAAGTATTTCAAGTTGTAAAATGCTCATTGCTCATTGGTTGAACAAGGGGAGTGAAATATCAAATGTGTTTCAGAGAGTAATCCTTCTCTCTGAATGTCTTATATCATTTTATACCATTGGCAAGATAATGACAAAATAAACATCTATTCGATCACCTGACTTTATATTTCTTGTGTTACTTTTCATTTCTTAAAGAAAATCTATACCAGTACATTGTATATATAAAGCTATGACATGAAGAATACTTGAAGGCATATAAGATCTTAATACATGTACAACATGCACTTCTTAACAATTCCAAATGTACAATAAAATATAACTTAAGCTTTTCGTTTGACTACATGAAGCTTACCACTGATGTAGGATTTAACATTGGCTTTGAAGTATAAAGACCAGGTGGAAGGCCTGGGGACTTGTGAAACATCTGAATTCTCTCAGAATGTTTGGCCATATCAAAGGGACTTAATCCACCACTACTTGCTGTAGATCCTTGCAAAGATTCTGGATAGAAAGGAAAGCTTTATTAAAATGCTTTTTGAACTACATAAAATTATATAACGTCTATAAATACAGTATTTTCAGAAGAAAAAAAACCGTAAGAAGCTAGATCCATGTGTGATCAAACACACCTGGTGTAGAACTGGCACTGCTAACATCCCCTAGGGTTGACATCGGTCTATGAGGAGTGGTAGCTGTCTTGGATGGTTCCATCTCTTGCATTTCAATTTCTTCACTTTGAGAAGTTTCAGGTGCAGCCACTTTATGAGGACTAATCTTTGTTGATGTAGAAATTGGATTTCTTTGCTCTACAAAATGATTTTGATCACTCTTAATAATATTTAAGTCAATATTTGAAATTCACATACATTTTCGATACAAAGTTTTGTTACAGGTTTTACCTTTGCAAGACTCTAAAATCTTTGGCCTTTCAGACTGGGCAGTAAGGATTTTAGTGACTTTGAGAGGCATTTTATCATTGGCAATTTCACTGGAACATAGATTTGATTGGATTGTATCTTCACCTTGATGACCAAAGGAAGCCTGTAACTTTTCAACTGTTGTAGTTTTGGCAATTGGCTTCCGGATTTGTTCTGAGCATTGACTGGACATTAGTTTCCCAGCTTTATTTGATGGAACTGTGACGGCTTGACTTATTGATGGTTTTGATAAGGATGGGATATGAAGCTGATGTTTCTTTGAACTGTAACAAAGACAAACACTGTCAAAAGTATTTAAAAATCTAAAACAACACAACAAAAAATATTTTTCAAAAATAATAGGAAATGTGCTCATCTCTATAAATTTACAGATTTAGGTATCTTCACCTGCTTTCAGTCTGAAGTTTTGGACTAGGCTTTGGAGTTGGCATTGCAACTTTTGCCCTCATTTCTGCTAGTGATGGTAGATATGCTTTAGGCATCATTGGACTATTGTGTGGGGGTGGGGCTCTTCTGTCCGGCTTTGATATTGCTGGAATGGTTCTCTGTAATTGGGGCTGCTTGGAAGGAAAACAAGTCGCTGTCTTGATGTTGTCGCCCTGTTCATTGACTAATTGGACCTGTTTATTACAGATCATTACCTCCTCTCCTCTAGGTAGACCACAAGGTTTTTTATTTGGTATTTTTTCACCTGAGCTGCTGCAAAGCATTGGTTCCTCATGACTGTATTGTTGGTTAGCTTCTGATGAACCAGTAGCACAAGGGATTGTTTGAATTCCATTGTGAGATTCTTGAGTAGATTGGGAGTTGTCCGTTACTTGCATTGGGACATCTGATTCATCATCCTCCCTCTGTCTGATTACGCTAGAATTAATGAATATCACAAAAAAATGTTTTATTTATAATTGTGTAATTTGAAATATCTATGGAATTGTAACTTTCAAATAACTTGTATTAGAGGACTATCATTTTTTGAATCAACTTGGAAAAAAAAAGTCAGTCATTTGGATTCTTTAAAGAGGAAGGTCATTAGAAATGTTTAAATCTAATTATTTTACATCCTTTGTAGTTTTATGAATTTTACACATTTGAAACTAACATAAATTTGCTAATCAAAATCTTCAAAGGTGAGGGACAAATTTATTAAGCTAAGCTGCAGTAAATGTCAATTAATGTTCATTCAGATTTGTTCTGACACATCATACATCATATAAAGCAACATTTATGTAAATACCTTATAAGCATGGAATCAGAATGTGTATCAGCAGAGTTTTCTTGTTGAGGACTGGTGGACAGATTTTGCTGCTGGTTACTCTGTGTTGTGTGTATTATGGCCACAGGTTGAGTGTGGGTATGCTTCAGAGTCTGCAAGGATGACAGACACAATACTTAAATACATGTAATATGATATACAATATATTACAATAATACACAAAAATACTATATTTGTATTTCATTCACTTTTATAATATAAATGACTATTTTTGAAATTTTACATATTATATATGTATCTCTGTTATTTAATAAAATATTTTCATAGTTTTGTAATTTTTTTACCATTTGATGTTTCTGCTTTTCTTCCTGTGCTTTTAATAGGTCCAAGATAACCTTTTCATATTCTTTCAATACACTGTTGGTCTCCAGTTTAATTCCAGCTCTAACAATCATTAAGTACAGAAATCTAACTTTTCTTCTAAAATTCATTTTGTAAGAAACCCTTTCAATCAAATTATTTGCCATTGCAATGTGGTTTCATAGCAGAAGTATTTGTCTAAAAGTTGTAAGTATATATACTGATTTATCTTATCTCATTAAGAAAGCTTTCAATTTCCCTTGTACATTGTGAGAAAAAGGATACATTGTTACAGCAAATGAATGAAATCTTCCTACGTCATGGTAACTTGCATCTAAAATAAAGTAAATAATTGAAAGTCATTTATTCTTCAGTCAATAGGAGGACCATCAGGAGTTCCAACATGTGGGAGGATAAAAAAAATCTCTTCAAGCAAAAGTCAAATAGTTAATAACATACTGAGAAAAGATCCAAAAATTCTTAATCTTAACTGGGAGAATGTGTTTTGAGGACAATCAAAATTAAGAGGGCTGAACATATTCTAGCCAAATACTGTAATTCACTTTTGATTTACTAAAACTTATTTTTGTGTCATTTAAGTTGATGAAAATGATGAGGAAGAGAATTGTTATTTTGACTGACTAATCTGATAAAGTCTCATGTACCATGCAGAAACAGGTATAAAATACTATGAAATGTAGCTTCTGAAACACAAATGTGTGACAAACAGGAAAAAAAAGAAATAAACAGACAAACCCAATGATACAAATGTATGTAATACCACTTAAATCAGCCAGTTTCTCCCGTAGTTTTCCACATTGGTTTTGCTCTTGTTTCAGCTGTGCCTCCAGTTGTGCGTTTTCTGCCTGAAGACTGTCCAAAGTCTTAGCCAGAGGAAAGCTCTTGTATTTAGCCTCGTAGTCACTCCATATGTTCTTGTAATGCTCAAGGATTTGGAATCTCTCTTTACTATAAAAACAGCAATTTAAATTATCTATTATGTTGCATTTCTCTCTTAAACTTTGGTTTCTTATTTTTATATTTAAAATCTCCAAGAACATTTTATTCATTAACATTTTTTCAAATTCTTATATAATAATTATCATTATTACATCTTTTGAATTATTTGAATTATTAATATTTGATGTACAATTCACATGAATCATAATACATTTGCCTCTATTTACCTCTCACTTTGTCCTAATTCAAACAGGGCAACATTTTTCTTCTGTAGGGCCTCCTCATGCTCCTTTAAGACAACAGCTGTTTTCTTCAAACTGTCAAAATTAAGCTAAACTCAAAGACACACTCAAAGATTTTATATTGCACAATATCTGAAAAAAAGCATCTTAAAATTTTTGGTGAAATTTTAAAGAAATACTAGAAGAAAGTTGAGAACTTTAAATTTTATCCCAAGTGCTCAGAATTTAGGAAATGTGTTTCTGCAATGTTTTTTGGGGGGTATTATTAACCACATGTTTTTAAATCAAGGTTTATTTTTATATTTTGTTTGGCTATTATTTCACAATAAAATCATAATTTGTAATCCAATTTTTCCAGACATAATTCAAATCTTACTTTTCTACATTTTCTCTATTAATAGTAAATTGTTTGTGAGCCCTCTTTGTTTCTTCGTCAAAGTTTGATATTTGCTCTTGCAGTCTAGTAATGGTATCCTTTTTATCCAGTAAATCTTTTTCCAAAGCTAGAGAAAAAATGTCTTTATTACATGGTAAAACAATAAAAAAGTTTTGTTTTTTTTAAAAATATTATACTTTGCTGTATGCTTCAAATATATTTAATTAACGAGATATTTGTCAGGATAATACCATTAATCTGTTGATTCTCAGCTTCTATCAGCTTCACATATTGCTGGTTTTCAAATTCTGAAAAAATAATAGGTACAGTTGAACTTCCATATCTTGAACATCACTACATCAAATTTCTTAGAACTAGAAGTTCGGTTTACATCCCAAACATTTTTTTTAGATTCTTCATGCATTATTACCTACCAGTAATTATCTTGCACCCTTGATATTTGATACCTCAAGTTTTTTTTTCTCTCAGACCCATCATATTTAATATTAGAGGGTTTCATTGTACTATGTTCTATAAAACTGATCAGTCATCAGTGTTAACTGATGTAAACACGGTGAGGAAGTATGAGCAAACGCCAATCGGTCATTGGATCAGATATGAAAAATATACCCACCAAAGCTCTGGATCAGCTTATCCAATTCCGATGCATTCCCTGTCAGATGTAATGTATTCGCCATTTAATCCACGATATGACTACAATCAACAAAGAAAATTTTGAGATGGTTAACTCTCCACATTGTAAAGGCAAATGAAAGATTACTTATTGCACAACTGTTTCAAAAGTTAATTTTTACAATAAAAAATACTGTTATTCAAATAGTAACGCTGAAAGGAATCCGCTGGTCTTAATTCATGTTTGGCGCTGTTGGAGGTATAATATGAATACTTTTTTGGATCTCGTAACCAGCCTCTATAACCAGGCAGAGCGCATGCGCGCAACAAATTTACATCGAGATCGGAAAACAGAGGAGAGGAAATTCGGAATATATAATGAAAACTAGTAGTGCTATTCTTAGATGCAGAAATTTATGCATAATTCAATAAAATATTATTTAAAAAGCAGAAGAATGATTAAGTCAACTTTGCAATTAGTATTTATTTATTTTTTAAAATCTTTTATTCATTCATTTATTTATTTATTTTATTTCTTTAATTATTTTTTTAATTCTAATAATTAATGAACTATTGAACTAGGTAACTACATCAGGAAATTTATTTGTTTGTTTATTTATTCATACATTCTTTTCTTCATTAATTAATTATTCTAATGAGTAATTAATTCCTCTATTTATTAATAAATTATTCTATTATTTAATTAATAATTTTTTTTATTAATCTATAATTTATGTGTTAATTCATTTAGATTTTAATTTGTTTGTTCATTTCTTTACTTACTTTATATTTTGCTTGATTGTGTATTTTTTTATATTGGTTTCTTTCTTTCTTTCTTCCTTTCTTTCTTTCTTATTTATTTATTCATTTATTATATATTCATTTATTTATTTATCTATTTATTTATTTATTATTTCTAATAATTAAGTAAATGATTGATTTACTAATAAATAGATAATTAATTTATCATATCCATTCCTTTTTATTATTATTTTTTTAAATTTATTTATTTATTAATTTATCAATTAATTAATTTATTTATTTATTTATTTATTTATTTATTTATTTATTTATTTATTTATTTACTTATTTATTTATCTATTTATTTATTTATTCATTCATTCATTCATTCTTTAATTTATTCATTCATTCATTCCTACTTTTTCTGTTATAAACAAGTTCTGTTTATGTATTGCCAGGGTTTGTGTTCCCATCATCATGGTCTGTAATTTGTATCACCAGGGTCTGTATACCCATCACCAGGGTCTGTATCATCTATCACCAGGGTCTGTATACCCATCACCAGGGTCCATATTATCAATCACCAGGGTTTACATACCCATCACCAGGGTCTATATTTCCATCACCAAGGTCTGTATTATCTATCACCAGGGTCTGTATACTCATCACCAGGGTCTGTATACACATCACCAAGGTCTGTATTATCTATCACCAGGGTCTGTATACTCATCACCAGTGTCTATATACTCATCACCAGGGTCTGTATACCCATCACCAGGGTCTGTATACCCATCACCAGTGTCCATATTATCTATCACCAGGGTTTGTATACTCATCACCAGGGTCTGTATACCCATCACCAAGGTCTATGTTATCTATCACCAGGGTCTATATACCCATCACCAGGGTCTGTATACTCATCCCCAGGGTCTGTATACCCATCCTCAGGGTCTGTATACTCATCACCAGGGTCTGTATTATCTATCACCAGGGTCTGTATACACATCACCAGGGTCTGTATACTCATCACCAGGGTCTGTATACTCATCACCAGGGTCTGTATACACATCACCAGGGTCTGTATACTCATCACCAGGGTCTGTATACTCATCACCAGGGTCTGTATACCCATCACCAAGGTCTGTATTATCTATCACCAGGGTCTGTATACTCATCACCAGGGTCTGTATACACATCACCAAGGTCTGTATTATCTATCACCAGGGTCTGTATACTCATCACCAGGGTCTGTATACTCATCACCAGGGTCTGTATACCCATCACCAGGGTCTATATCATCTATCACCAGGGTCTGTATACCCATCACCAGGGTCTATATACTCATCACCAGGGTTTGTTTTATTTATTACCAGGGTCTGTATACCCATAACCAGGGTCTGTATACCCATCACTAGGGTCTCTATTATCTATCACCAGGGTGTATATTCCCATCACGAGGGTCTGTATTATCTATCACCAGGGTCTGTATACCCATCACCAGGGTCTATATTATCTATCACCAGGGTCTGTATACCCATCACCAGGGTCTGTATACCCATCACCAGGGTCTGAAGTATTATCTATCACCAGGTTATGTATACCCATCACCAGGGTCTGTATTATTTATCACCAGGGTCTGTATACCTATCACCAGGGTCTGTATTATCTATCACCAGGGTCTGTATTATCTATCACCAGGGTTTGTATACCCATCACCAGGGCCTGTATAATCTATCACCAGGGTCTGTATACCCATCACTAGGGTTTGTATACCCATCACCAGGGCCTGTAATATCTATCACCAGGGTCTGTATATCCATCACCAGGGTCTGTATACCCATCACCAGGGTCTATATACCCATCACCAGGGTCTTATACCCATCACCAGGGTCTGTTTACCCATCACCAGGTTCTATATTATCTATCACAAGGGTCTGTATACCCATCACCAGGGCCTGTATTATCTATCACCAGGGTCTATATATCCATCACCAGGGTCTGTATCATCTATCACCAGGGTCTGTATACCCATCACCAGGGTCTATATACTCATCACCAGGGTCTATATATCTATCACCAGGGTCTGTATACCCATCACCAGGGTTTGAATACCCATAACCAGGGTCTGTATACCCATCACTAGGGTCTCTTTTATCTATCACCAGGGTGTATATTCCCATCACCAGGGTCTGTATTATCTATCACCAGGGTCTGTATACCCATCACCAGGGTCTATATTATCTATCACCAGGTTATGTATACCCATCACCAGGGTCAGTATACTCATCACCAGGGTCTGTATTATCTATCAGTAGGTTATGTATACCCATCACCAAGGTCTGTATTATCTATCACCAGGGTCTGTATACCCATCACCAGGGTTTGTATACCCATCACCAGGGCCTGTATTATCTATCACCAGGGTCTATATATCCATCACCAGGGTCTATATATCCATCACCAGGGTCTGTATACCCATCACTAGGGCCTGTATTATCTATCACCAGGGTCTATATATCCATCACCAGGGTCTGTATCATCTATCACCAGGGTCTGTATACCCATCACCAGGGTCTATATACTCATCACCAGGGTTTGTTTTATCTATCACCAGGGTCTGTATACCCATCACCAGGGTTTGAATACCCATAACCAGGGTCTGTATACCCATAACTAGGGTCTCTATTATCTATCACCAGGGTGTATATTCCCATCACCGGGGTCTGTATTATCTATCACCAGGGTCTGTATACCCATCCCCAGGGTCCATATTATCTATCACCAGGGTTTACATACCCATCACCAGGGTCTATATTCCCATCACCAAGGTCTAAGACACTAAGTGATACATAGACCCTTGCTGATACACAGACCCTAGGTGATACACAGACCCTAAGTGAACATAGACCCTTGGTGATACATAGACCCTTGGTAATACACAGACCCTCGGTGATACAGATCATTGTTAATACAGACCCTTAGTGATACGTAGACTCTTGGTGATACACAGACCCTTGGTAATACACAGACCCTTAGTAATACACAGACCCTTGGTGATACACATATCCTTGGTGATACACAGACCCTCGGTAATACATAGACCCTTAGTAATACACAGACCCTTGGTGATACATAGACCCTTGGTGATACATATCCTCGGTAATATACAGGCTCTTGGGTGATACATAAAACTTTGTCGATACACATATCCTAGGTAATACACACAAACGCTTGGTGATACGATAACACTTGGTGATACATAGACCCTTGGTGATACACATACCATTGGTGATACATAGACCCTTGGTGATTCATATCCTCGGTAATATACAGGCTCTTGGTTGATACATAAACCTTTGTCGATACACATATCCTAGGAAATACACACAAACGCTTGGTGATACGATAACACTTGGTGATACATAGACCCTTGGTGATACACATACACTAGGTGATACATAAACCTTTGCTGATACACATATCCTCGGTCATACACACAAACACTTGGTGATACATAGAACCTTGGTGATTCACATAACCTTGGTGATACATAGACCTTTGGTGATAAACATAGTGCCCTTGGTGATAGAAACTCTTTGTGAAACACAGACTCTTGGTTTTTGACAGACCCTTTATGATGCACATGCCCTTGGTAATACATAAACACTTGGTGACACATAGACCCTTGTGATATACAAGCCGTTGGTGATACACATAGCCTTGGTGATAGACATAATCAAGGTGATACACAAGACCTTGGTGATAGACAGACCCTTGCAGATAAATAGACCCTTGGTGGTACACATACCATTAGTGATACAAACATTCTCGGTGATACACAAACCTAAGGTTAAACATATACCATTTGTGATACAGATACCTTTGGTAGAATAAGGCCACTTGTGATACACATACACTCAGTGATACGCATAACCTTCGTAATACAGACCCTTGGTGATACACATATCCTTAATGATACACAGGCCGTTGGTGAAATACATATTTTTTATGATACATAGACCAAAAATTGGTGATACATAGACCCCTAGTGATAAAGACCCTGCGTGATATATAGAGTCAAAGACTCTTGTGAATACTGAAACTCTTGACAGATCCTCTGCAATGCACATACTCTAGCTGATATTAAAACCAAACTCTTGTAAATCAAACTCTTGGTGATAGACCCTTGATGATGCAGAGAAACAAATGATCGGTATACAGACCCTGTTCATAAGTATGCAGATCCTCGTACGTGAAAGGTAATGCCAATCCTGTATACAGATATGCAAACCCTGATGGTTGGTAATAGCTAGTGATGGGTATATAGAACCTCGTGATAGAATATAGAGACCCTGGTGATGGGTATACAGACCCTCATAATAGATAATACAGACCCTAGTGATGGGTATACAGACCCTGGTGATGGGTAAACAAACCCTGGTGATGGGTATACAAACCCTGGTGATGGGTATACAAACCCTCGTTATAGATAATACAGACCCTGGTGATGGATAATATCATAATACAGACCCTGGTAATGAATAATACAGACCCAAGTGATGGGTAAACAGACCCTTGTTAGAGTTATTACAGACCCTGGTGAAGGGTATACAAACCCTGGTGATGGGTATATAGACCCTGGTGATGGGTATACAGACCCTGGTGATAGATAATACAGACCCTGGTGATAAATAATACAGACCCTGGTGATGGGTATACAGACCCTGGTGATAGATAATACAGACCTTGGTGATTGGTATATTAACCCTTGTAATCGGTATACATTACCTGGTGATAGATAATACAGGCCCTGGTGATGGGTATACAAACCCTGATGAGAGAAAATACAGACCCTGGTGATAAATAATACAGACCCTGGTGATAAATAATACAGACCCTGGTGATGGATAATACAGACCCTGGTTATAAATAATACAGACCCTGGTGATGGATATATAGACCCTGGTGATGGGTATATAGACCCTGGTGATAGATAATATAGACCCTGGTGATGGGTATACAGACCCTGGTAATATACATGGGAATATACACCCTGGTGATGGGCATACAGACCCAGGTGATAGATAATACAGACCCTGGTGATGGGTAAACAGACCCTGGTGATAGATAATACAGACCCTGGTGATGGGTATACAGACCCTGGTGATAGATAATACAGACCCTGGTGATGGGTATACAGACCCTGGTGATGGGTATACAGACCCTGGTGATAGATGATACAGACCCTGGTAATGGGTATATAGACCCTGGTGATAGATAATACAGACCCTGGTGATGGGTATACAGACCCTGGTGATGGGTATACAGACCCTGGTGATGGGTATATAGACCCTGGTGATGGGAATATACACCCTGATGATGGGTATACAGACCCTGGTGATAGATAATATAGACCCTGGTGATGGGAATATAGACCCTGGTGATAGATAATATAGACCCTGGTGATAGATAATACAGACCCTGGTGATGGGTATACAGACCCTGGTGAGAGATAATATAGACCCTGGTGATGGGAATATACACCCTGGTGATAGATAACAGTGAAACTGGTGATGGGTATATAGACCTTAGTGATGGGTTTGAGACCCTGGTGATGGGTATACAGACCCAGGTGATGGGTATACAGACCCTGGTGATAAGTATGCAAACCCTGTTGATGGTAATATACACCCTGGTGATGGGTATACAGACCCTGGTGATAGATAATACAGACCCTGGTGATGGGTTTACAGACCCTGGTGATAGGTATACAGACCCTGGTGATAGGTATACAGACCCTGGTGATAGGTATACAGACCCTGGTGATGGGCATACAGACACTGGTGATGGGTATACAGACCCTGGTATTGGGTATATAAACCCTGGTGATGGGTATACAGACCCTGGTGATAGATAATACAGACCTTGGTGATGTGTATACAGACCCTGGTGATAGAAAATACTGAGCCTGGTGATAAGTATGCAAACCCTGGTGATGGGTATGCAAACCCTGGTGATGGGTATACAAACCCTAGTGATATATAAAACAGACCCTGGTGATGGGTATATAAACCAGGGTGATTGGTATAAAGACCCTGGTGATAGATAATACAGACCTTGGTGATGGGTATAACAGACCCTGGTGATGGGTATATAGACCCTGGTGATGGGTATACAGACCCTGGTGATAGATGATACAGACCCTGGTGATGGGTATACAGACCCCGGTGATACAATTACAGATCATGGTGATGGGAACGCAAATCTTGGCAATACATAAACAGAACTTGTTAGGGCCCCGCAAGGATTTGCGGGTGCCCTATAGTAATCACTCTGTCTGTCTGTCCGTCCGTCTGTCTGTCTGTCCGTCTGTCACTCTTCCGTCCACAAATTTTCTGTTTTTTTCTAATAACTTTTTTTATGGTTGCCCAATCAAGTTTAAATTTGGTATGGTTGTTTAATAGGCAGAAATACATATTTTGATGCTAAGTTTGATTCTCTATGTCTTCTAGTTTGGAGCTCGGGTGGTGGGGTAGATTCCTTAACTATGCATAAGAATGAACGTGCAACTTTTTTTATGGTTGCCCAATTAAGATCGAATTTGGTACGGTAGTTCAGTAGGCAAAAATACATATTTTGATGCTAAGTTTGGTTCTCTATGTCTCTTGGTTTGGAGCTGGGGTGGTGGGGTAGATTCCTTAACATTATAAGAATGCATTGGCAAAGAGAGATAACTGCTGAAGATGTTCCCATTCAGTAAACTGAATGCTACTAGGAGTCCCATGAGATTAATTAGCTTTCCTCCTGAAGAAAATCCAGAGCATTATCTTTATCTGTCACATTGAGATTAATTACCACCTCTGTCTGCAAATGAAGTTTGTTTTGAAGTTAAATCAATTTGGAATGCTATGAACACTCTGAAATGTGGATTTAAAAATACATTTTTATTATTTATTTTTGTTTGATAGTTATGATTTCATTGAATCCTAAAAAAAGAAATAGATTAAAGAAGATTTTTTGATTTACCAGGGTACTTTTTTTCACTTTTTTCCTTTTTTTTGGAAATATATTAATTCAAGAATGTTTTTAATTTTTAATGTAGTTGTATAAAAACCCCATTCTATCATTAATACTGAAAAAATTTGTATTGTAACTTTAGAAGAAAATGATGAGAGAGGTACAATTAATCCCTTGGGATTAATTATCTAGCCTGCTGCAGAAAATTTAGTAGGCTTCTCTTTATCTGTCACTTTAAGATTAATGAAAACCTTTGTCTGCAATTGCTGTTTGTTCGAAGTTGAGGTCAAGCCTTCATGATATTTGCATTCATTGAAGGCTGTCATTTTATAAAACACAAGATTCATAATTGTTTAAATATTCAATGTTAAGTTGTTCTTTACTGCCTAATGTAAATACAAGAATATTATTTTCAGGTTTTTGAATACTAGTATTCAGGAATTATGTTGAAATTTTAAGAATACAGTTGCTTTTTCTTTGTACATTTATTAATCATTCTGTAAGCTGCACCCTTTTAATTCTACCTATGGCGGGGCCCTTGCTGACTGGTCAGTTTTCTAGTTTGTAACAGAAAAAGTAGGAATGAATGAATTAAAGAATGAATGAATGAAAAAAAATTAATAAGTTAATTAATAAATATATAAATATATAAATAGATAATTAAATTAATGAATAAATAATAATTAGAAAATAATAAAAAGGAATTAATATGATAAATTAATTATCTATTTATTAGAAAATCAATCATTTACTTAATTATAAGAAATAATAAATAAATAGATAGATAGATAAATAAATAAATAATAAAAAAAAAATAATTAAATGAATAAAGAAAGAACGAAAGAAAGAGAGAGAGAGAAAGAAAGAAACCAATAAATAAATACACAATCAAGCAAATATAAAGTAAGTAAACAAATAAACAAACAAATTAAAATCTAAATGAATTAACACATAAATTATAGATTAATCAATAAATTTATTAATTAAATAATAAAATAATTAATTAATAAATAGAGGAATTAATTACTCATTAGAATAATTAATTAATGAAGAGAAGAATGTATAAATAAATAAACAGACAAATAAATTCTCTGATGAATAAATAATTAAGTTACCTAGTTCATTAATTATTAGAATTAAAAAAATAATTAAAGAAATAAAATAAATAAATGAATGAATAAAAGATTTTAAAAAATAAATAAATACTAATTGCAAAGTTGACTTAATCATTCTTCTGCTTTTTAAATAATATTTTATTGAATTATGCATAAATTTCTGCATCTAAGAATAGCACTACTAGTTTTCATTATATATTCCGAATTTCCTCCCCTCTGTTTTCCGATCTCGATGTAAATTTGTTGCGCGCATGCGCTCTGCCTGGTTATAGAGGCTGGTTACGAGATCCAAAAAAGTATTCATATTATACCTCGCTGTTGACAACTTGAACGCGCCGCCATATTACCGTCTGCTCTGCCTGTTCCGCGATTTCGTAGTTTTTATTTTTTGATTTGTCCTATATGTCAGACCTTCACACACTTGTAAAAATAAATAATAAATAAAGTTTTAGAAAAGTGGAATTGTTACTGTCCTTATAAGAAAGAAAGATATACAATATCGATTTTAATGACATCATATCGGCTTTGGTCTTTCAACTTTTTCGTTTTGTGATATTTCTTTCCAAAAGTGCAGGTAACTTCCGGTTGCAGACGACAAGTGCGAGTGAGTAATGTAGGTAGGGCAATTTTTGGGGGAAAATGGTGACAAGTCAAATATTCACAGCAACAACAGATGGAAATATTTCCTTTCTATCGACATTAAATCCTGAACAACTCACAGACAAGATCGTTGACGATAAAGGGGCCAATTGCTGCCATTATGCATCAAGGGCGGGTAGGGTAGATGTCATCGAGTATCTTGTTCAAAACAGACACTTCAACCACCACAAGCGGTCCATGGTCGGCTCTACTCCAGCGCATGATGCTGCAGCCTCAGGGAAACTAGCCACTGTACAATGGTTACTGAAACAAGCCAAACCTCCCTTAACTCCAGATGATCAAGATGGCACTGGAGCAACTGTACTGCATTTGGCAGCTAGATATGGACATGCTTCACTTGTAGAATGGATTCTTGATAATACTCAGGGTGATTTAGCCATGATAAAAGCAGCAAGTGGTGCTCTGCCTCTTCATTTTGCTGCTTCTGGTGGAAGTGTGGACACTGTTCAAATTCTATTACAGGATTCACCTAGGTGTGTGTGCTATATATTAAATGATCTCTTTTGATTTCTTTAATGAACACATGTGTGTGTATCAGACATAAAAAATATTGAATAAAATTTAATTAGCATACTTGTCAAAGGCGGATCCAGAGCCGTCAGCTTGATGCTTGAACAATATCTGCTCACTATGAAGTGTGTTGCCACACATATTCAGTTTTACAAGGGTGCACAGATTGTCAGAATCAAGTATGCAATGTACAAGACTTTTCATGTATAGGTTTTAAGAGATTTAGACAATTTATTCCTTTGAATTCTCTGCAAGAACTAAATTTCGGACAGATATCTCTTGACTACCAAGTTCAAAGGACAAGAAAGGTTAATATCCCTCTCTGGCCCCTGGTTTGAGATGTCTCTAAAATAACCGGTATGCTGTTGACTGAAAAGGACAGCATGTGAAACTTACTTTACAATATGCCAGACATGCAGGGCTGACTGCTAGTTAAATGTACCAGGCTTGCCAATAATCATTTAGCATGAGAAAATATTTGTTCTATTTTTATAAATTCCTTTTACCAATGATCTGAAAGGGGTCAGATCACCATATCTTCAATCTCAAACTTATAAGCTGACAAATTCTACTTGTTTGCTTGTTACACTTTCATTGACTTTGTCATCGATATTGTTAGTTGATTTGAGTGAGATTTATCAAATATCAGAATTTTGATTGATGAAAATTTTTCACGCATCTATCTGAACCTTGAAACATGCAACAATTTAAAACCCACAATGTAAAATTTGTGCATCTCTGGCGGTCAGGCGCATGGTTATTTCAAACACTGAAACAGGGAAAATGAATATGCATGGTTTAATTGTTATGAGTCAGTTGTTTAAAAGTTTTCTGAGAATTTTCTAGGCCTGGTGTTACTACATGTATAATGATCGTGATTTTGACTTTAACAATAACATTTACTCATGTGAAAAAAAAGTTTTTCTTGCAGTGTAATCAGTAATGTCGTGCTATTTTATTACAGATCTGTGAACATGCAAATGACAAATGGAGCAACCCCGATATATATTGCTGCACAGAGTGGGCATTTAGAGGTCCTTAAACTACTGGTTCAGAAAGGTGGCACTGTTAAAATCCATGCATATGATGGCATGTCATGTTTACATGCTGCATCCCAGAGTGGACATCTTGATTGTGTAAAATTCTTGGTAAGTCAATGTATTAATTAGTAACTAATTAATAACCCTGTTCTGAAAAAAAACCTCAAACTTGGTGTATTAGTCCCCTACAGCCGAAACTGGAGGGAACTAGGTTTCCTCGTTTGTCCATCTGTCTGTCTGTCCAGCTGTCATTCTACTCTAGCCGTCCCTCCATCTATCTGCCAGTCTGCCCCCTATTTTTCTGCACTTTTTATCTAAACACGTGTATCTTGATCATGTTGATGAGATACAGATTAATTTTATTTTTATTCCACATCTATGATTCCTGAGGGAATTATGACTTCTGAAACATTTCTTGTTCGTGTGAGTAATGAGGGGATTTTTTTTTTTAAAGCAAGGCCAAACTATGACTCAGATGAGTATTTCGATGCACAAGCCACTTTTAAGCTCACCTTTACAAAGTCTGGTGAGCTTATGCTTTACCCACAGCATCAGCATAAGTGTGGGCGTCCAAGTGTTTAAGTTCTTGGAGCAAGTTCATTTCCAAGTAGCTATAAGTTCTACCTGGACCAAATTTGCAAGGATGCATCATTGGATGGACACTACCAAACTTTCTTCATATGGTGGATCTGACCTATATTTTCTAGATGGATGACCAAGTTAATGTTTTGGACAGGTCCATTCCCAAGTAACTATAAACCCTACCTGGACCAAACATGCATGGATGATGCTTCTTTTTGAAGTAGCTCTATTACTGTGTGGCTTGTTATGATTCAATTTGCATGGAAGATGCAACTAAGAATGGACACTTGCTTCAGATGTTGGAACTTAAAGATCTTTCTTGATTTGTGACCAGGATAAAGTTTTGGAAGCATGTACTCTCCCAAGAAACTATGTCCTACTGGTCCTTAAACCAAACTTCATGGATATTAATTTCAGGATGGACACTAAATAAAAAAAATATGATGTGAGATTTGCATCACTGTTACTGATAACATTCGTCTAGGTGAGCTTCATAATCTTCTATTACCCATGTTTGTTTTTTAAAAAAAATGACCAACATTGTGAAACTCCGAAAGAAGAAGGTAACCATAGCTAATGCATGTCAAAATACTGCATAGAAAATATTTGAACAATGCATTTATACAATAATATTTATTTCAATTCTAATTCCATTTGTTAACTTATTTTTTGAGGTTCTAAAACATATTGAGGAATCAATTGTTATAAATGGTCTTTTTTCTATTAAACTGGTTTATGTCATTGACTCATAACACTTTCAGATTTTAGGGGCATCAGATAATTACACTCTTGTAGTTGAATCTTAAAACTAAAGCTTATAGTACATGTTTACAGGTATTGGAACAGAAATGTAAAGTAAATGAGCGGGACTTTGACGGAGCTTCCTGTCTTCACTACGCAGCCAGCATGGGTCACGCTGAGGTCGTTAGGTGGCTGATGTCAGAGGGAGGGGCCAAGGTCACCCTGGATAACCTTGGAGGCAGTCCTCTCCACAATGCAGCAGAAGTGGGACATCTCAAGGTTATTTTTATGCTCTAGTGTATCAAAAATGTTTTTGTATTACTGGTAGATGTTGGTTTTTCTGTATTATTGGGAAAAAAACCTTTTTTTGAACACTTTTGACATATGAAAAATAGGAAAGTAAGTTATTAATTTCCCCATTATCACATCACACGTAGATAGAAGTGGAGTAGTATTTGTTCATAAGGTCTTGACTGATTACATTTCTTGACATTTTACCTACACCTGGTCAGATAGAAGAAAAACTAATAAAGTATAAATACAGCAATCAATAATGATGTAAGCACATTCTCATAGTATGTATTGTACAAGGTGACCAATAAAGTTGTTATGCGAGGTGCAAAAGACAGACTAAGCATCAAAAGTGTTAGGTAAAAATTCGTTAGGATATAACCTAATTTATCATCTTCACCTCTGGCCTGCTTGATTATCATGCCATTTCTATAGAACATAGATACAATGCCTCCAAAGCACTGCTAGGTTATCTTTATTTTCTAACCCAGTGATGACTCTTTCTCAATATTGTCATGCAAGATAACAGTCACACTTTATTAGCATTGCACCTGCTTCCCGGCAGAGGATGTGGCGACACCTTAGTTTACTGTGAAAGCTAGGATTACATCAACCCAAGGTACTCGGTTATTTCTAACAATCAATATTGCAAGTTGTGATTCAGAAAAAAGGTAGATATCTATGTATGTTACATCAGGTAGATATTCATCATTCCTCTGTTCTGATATTAAGGTTTTAATTTTTTTTGTTCGTGAGTGGGCTGTAGTGATTTGTAGGGTAAACGCCCTTAACAAACACTGATGCCTGTAGAATACCTTGACATGAAGAAGCACACAGTGTGCATGCAGTTGCAGTTTGTTTGAATATAATTTCAGAAGACAAACTTAAAAGCAAATGGATGTTTATGCTTCTAAGATGTTGATGAATATTTGAGAGCCATATAAGGTATTATGAGTACATATACTGTCTGCATGTATCCTTATATTTTAACAGGATTCATATTCTAGTGCCTTGTGCACAGTCTTTCAGGAGATAATTTATGATCATTGTTAAAATATGAATTTTTATATATATGTTTAATAAATAGGAACTGGACATTTTATGCTTATACCAGTATGCTAATTAGTTGCCCATGACCTGCCTGTGTGATAAATTTGAATGCCAGCTAAAATAGATATTGTGTAGGTTCCTTATATATTATCAATTCCTTGGATTGAACATAAGAAACCAGACAGTGTTGAGATATATGTAAATCTGCATTGCAAAGTCTTCAAACAAAATGAATCTTGGTATGATACCCGGTAGCTACAAGCATTGTGACTTGCAATTCTGAGATCTCTAAAGTAAATTCTAATCTTGTTTTTGCAGAGTTTGAGAAGTTGAAACCTTTGAAATTAAAATTATTGAATCAATATTTTCAAACTACAAACTCTATGAGGTACATGTACTGTGTTCTTTTGATGTAATATTGCTCTTTAGTCTTCAGGTCCATTTCATTGTGACTTAATTGCTGATTTTCCAACTCATCTTAGATGTACAGTATATTCACCAAGCATTTGAAAATTGATCGTCACGAAGTTAGAAATCAATAAAGTGTGTCTGGTCAGGACTTTATTTATAGCTTTATCTACATTTACCTGGAACATGGGCTACCTGTTGCCATAGATTTTAATTGGTATAAAATGTGGTCATTGTTGATCATGCATTTTCTGTGACCGGAGAAGCCGAGGTTGTTTGCTAATTACTAGAATTTCAGTTATCTGTCACTGTCACTGCTATGTAATTATTGATGGTCTCCAAAATATCCCTGACATCTGTTACCACTCAAATAAAGGTAGTAGTGTAGGAAAAAAGGACCCTTAGCTGTCATGGATTTCTTATTGAATTATTCAGCCTAAGTGAGGTTTGCATCATCTGAATCAATATAATTTTGTAGATTTCATTAATTAAATTACATTCGAGAATTTTCAAAGTGTCTTCAGATGCTGGCATACACTAATAAGGATCTATTACAATTTTTAAGTGGATTAATCTTTCAAGGACACTATAATTTGTCGTTCAGCTAGTTTACAGGTAATTCTATAGATGAGATGTAAGGCTTATATACCTCAATTGATTTTTTTTTTCAAGCTGAAAATGAGAAGTTACATTTTTGATGATTTTTATTCAGAAGCAGAAATTACAGCAGCCTTCACGTAACTACACTATGAGTGTAATTAAGACAGACCTTGTCCGTATTTCAGGTTGTGAGAGTTCTATTGGAGAACAATTGTAATCCCGATATAACAGATAACCAGGGTCTGACAGCCTTCGAGTTAGCAGAGAAGTGTTCTAATGATCAATGTGCTAAGGAAATCAAAGTAAAAGTAAGTGTTAACCTTACAACAAAGTCCTTAAGAGATTATGTCTACATGGAAGTTTATGTCATCCGTTGGTCAGTTTCTGTAAAACATCAAGATCAGTGTTCCCAAAGTTTGGGTCAAGTCCCTTTTATCATCTTTTAATTGATTGAAAACATGTAAACTATCTTCGTTGTGACCTTAATTTACCTCTATTACTTAGGTATGTCAACCAAATCGAGAAAAAAAAATCTATCAAGTTTGAGCTACCTTTTCAGGAATTCAAGTTTATTTTAAAATTTTTAATTAAAATCAAACTTTCCTACACAATTCTTCTTAAGGTGATTTCCCAAACTTTTCACTGCTTTGATTGCATACACACTTTGAAACGTGAAATTGTCATGTTGAAGGAACGTCAGCTTAATAAATGTCATTTTATCAGAGTGCAATATTATTGAAAAACATCCTTAACATTACCTCAATTTCCACTTCATTTGATAATTTTTTGCATTCATACATGACTTTGATATTAATTTTTCAAGAACATGATGTATGCTGTGTAATATCTTTGTCCATGATGGTGTATTTTGCATGTAAGTTAAATGTATAGCATGTCCAATTGTTTTGCTGTTTTCTATTGTGTTTAACCCTTTTGTTATTGACAGATGAAGGAACCTGTAAGGTTTTACTAAGGTAACATCAGAACAATATTACTCAAATCTATGCATGGACGCCAGTGGAAACTTTATTTAATAAGAGTCTTTTTTTCCCTCAATATTTATGTGTGACATATGCATATATTTATAAGTTCATATGTTTATGGGTAGATATTCATATCACATATAATATAAATAATTTTAGAATAAATGTGAAATTGGAAATTTCATGTAAAAATTAATTGTACCATATTTATCAGTAAAAACGAAAAATGTCTGAGAAGGATTTTTTTTTTTTGGTAAAAACAGTCAGGGCAAAATGCTATGGTGAGGTCAAAATGCTAAGAAAACATCCTTGAGTAAAATAAAATATATCCGACTAGTGTATTGCAACTAAGTTATCAAATCTCAACATCATTTTAGATGGCAATTTATTATGCTGTTGAACTTATGATGTTTACAAATGAGATATATAGATAAGTTCATTGACAAAAATCTTGCTTCATTGGGGTCTAGGTTTGGGCTAAAATAGAGGGAACTAAAATTCCCATTGAGAAAACAGAATCTTTTTTTTTTTAATTCTATTCAAGAAAACTGCAGGATTAATATTTACTCAGGGCAGCATTGTAGCCCCAGTGACCCTCTTGTTTTTATATATACATTTATAATTCTATGATTCATCAATTTTCAATATTGAAATTTATGGTACTGCTTTAACAGCTTGTTTTTTTTTTGTTGAAATTTACTAACAAAATTTAGGATATGGGTAAGATAAATACACCTTAATGTTAGGAGAACATAGGATTACATGTAAAACCCAGTGAAGTTTTGAATTTTTTTTTAATGAAATTTAATGATTGCTGGCAACAGTATATATGCCTAAATTATTTATATGTGTGTGCATCTTAAATTAACATGATAATTTTTGAGTGGAGGCCGGGCTTTAATTATAAAAGTAGATAGTGATATAATTTCTTTGCTGTTAAATAACCCATTCTTCCTATTCTCATAACAAAAGATGAAAAAAATCAATATTTTCTCTGTTTTTGTTTATTTATATTTTGAAAATTCTTAGAATATTCAACCTTATTTAATTTTTAACAGAAAGTTACATGTATTTAACTCTTTACAAACGATTTGACGATGGCCATTTTTGATAAGAAATGGCATTCGGTTCGGTTTGAAAGGTTTTCCGGAATTCGGTTCGGTTTTTTTTTATCTTTTATATAATACACCTGCTTGCAACACGCGTTGTGATTGGTTGTTTATTTCAATGAAGGGTTCTTTAACCAATGAAAATACAGGTAACATCGAAGACATTTAAACATGGCATACAGTAATCATACACATGTGGAAGGAAAAACAAATCACACGTGTGGGAATATTTCACATTTTGAATGTTTCAATTGTTTGTAACAAGATAACTCTATTCAATAATTTTATTTATTTTATTTTATTTTAAACAAGAAGTTTATTACTTTGTTATTTTTTGTTACATTTAACAACTTGATCTGTTGAATAAAATGGATAGAAATTTGTGTCGGCAAAATAGTACTTTCTACAATGTCCTTAATCCTTATTATCCTTTGATATATATAAAGATGTTTTATTTAAATTCTCAAAATGAAAACCGAACGAAAAAACCGAAAACCGATAATTTATTTTTAACCGAACCGAACCGAAAAAATTGAAATTGGCCATAAAGTGTTTTGGCTGCCCCTTCACAGCGTTTTATTGTTGGAGTGCAGTTTAAAACTGAACTATTATATATTCATTTATATTATGTATTATATATCATTGGATTCGTAATAAATTAAATTTCTCAAATCTTTTTACATAATTTAAGTCGGAAATTTCTGTTAAAAAAATAATTCAGGTGAAAGCAGGTGTAAATAGAAAATTAGATATTTTCAACAAGTAAAACGGCTTTAATAAGCCAAAATTGTCTGTATAAATAATAAAAAACATGTGTGATGATATAATTGATGGTTAAATTATTATTTATTATCAGTTTTATAAGTTTAATTACTCAGAAATTAATAAATTGTAGTGCTTCTTCAATGTCAATCTGTGTTAATGCGTCCTAAAACTTGATTTCTGAACGTTTTTGGACACTTTAATGATCCAATTCTATTAAAATAATTATTTTCTACACCTGTACATTAATGAATATGTGTAAAATGGAAGGTATCTTCTGAATTTGTGAGAAACAGGTGACGAAATCGGCACTGCGCGGTCCCGAACTTCACTAACTTATGTTGGAGTATATTTACACATATAGATCATTATAATTTTCAAACCTTTCAAGAAATAGGTAGTTTATAGACTGAATTTCATGAAATGCTTTACTGGATGAGAAAATATTGCGTATTTACTAGTAACATTTTCAAAAAAACATCGTATGTAACAGTCCGCCATTTTGAATTTTGGTGGAATATTGTTTGTTTACACAGGTAAATCACGTGATTTCTAACTGTAGTATGATGCAATCATTTGTTAACCTGCAGGTGGCCACCTGTGCTCTGATAATTTGTAAACAAGCGGTAATTTCAAGTCAAATCAACAACGAAATACACGTGGAAACTCGTCATTAAGGGTTGGGGGCTAGGCGTCAAAAGTCGTCATTAAGGGGTAAAGGAGGGAAAGGTCTAAGGGGAAAAGAGTTAAACTGGTATTTGTGATAGAAATACTCAAAGTATAATGATTTTATTTACTTTTTACATTTGTATGTTTGTATATGAGAAGTAGCATACTATTTTGAAAATGCAAAAAAACCCATAATATTTCTAGGTGATTTTTGGATAAAAATAATATTCAAGTAAATTCTGAGATAAAATATTCTATACAAAGTATTTTCTCCCCGTGTTATTTTCACCCTTTCACATTCGCAAACAGTTTTCAATGTACATTTTAAATATAAAAGGTGTTGTCAATAAATAAATTGAAATGCGCCCATTCACAGTTCATTGATTCATAAATCATTATATTCAGTGATTTCATTCTGTTTTGAATTTGCCCACTTATGGGTCGGAAGGGGTGAAAATAAAATGGGGTATAAATTTCCCTGGAAACAGTACATGATCATGAATTACCTTAGGTAAGAAGGACTGATAGGTTTACTCGAAGAATTGGTATAGGTCATTGCTGTGTTTATACCTCCAGGCTGATGTGATCCTTTAGTTCACATAATTTTTCTGATCAAAGATTGTCCTTTGTAAGTCTTTTAAATATAAAGTTTCAAATTCCCAGTACTGGTACTACTTTATTAAGTTTGTAAATCTTAATCAAAATTTCTATTACTTGTTTTCAAAGTTACCGGTACATGAAACATTTGGAAATGGAATATTAACTTGTTTACTATATGATTATAAGGTATTTTAAGGCCCCTTTAACCAAAATTCTAGGATATATATTTTTTGCCCTGTCCGTTGGTCTGTCTGTTTCTCCACAAGAACTTAAACCTTGGCCATAATTTTTGAACAGTTAGTAATCTGGCTTTTAAATTTCACAGGTTTATTTCCTGTGACAAGACCTTCCCTTAGATACCAATAATTTTGACCTTAGAGTTTAATCTACTTTTTAAAAACTTATGACAAGGTCTTTCCATGCATACAATTAAATCTGACCCGTTGACCTTGGAGTTTGACCCACTTTTAGACTGCATTAACCTTGACCATAACTTGTGCATGATTGGTATTTACTTGGGCTTTCATATTTGCCATTGACTCAAATACCCGGTCACTTGACCTTGGGGTTTGACTTGCATTTGAGAAACTTAAACCTTTACCATAAGCTGCCATACCGGGGCATCTGTGTTTCACAAACGCATCATGTTTCTGAAGAAAAGCAGATTTATTATAATTGAAGCCATGCATTCCTTCATACGCTTTAACAATGAGATTCATTTTTATTGTTTGACTGTAGTATTAAAAAAAACTCAGTTAAGATAAATGTGAAATTGTCAGCTTCTGGATTGATGCATGAGCATTGTGGTCTTGATAGCCTGTGTTCTATAATATGTAATTGTATGTATGAGTGAAACCTAATAAAATTCCTCACATTTATAAGATATGTATGCTTCTTAGAATATTAATGTGTTGTGTTGTTTTGAAATGTTTAAAAAACCTCACATTTTATTTTACCATTTCTCACCATGTAGCACCTTATAATCAGAGATTGTGTCAAATTAACTACACTAATAATTGATTTCCACAATACCAGATTACCAGTACACATAATAGTTATTTTACTGGTATATATCTATATAATTTAGCTCATCTAAGTTAACCGAATTCAAGTCATATTCAGCATGCATGCTCCTTTCATTTTCAAATCAGTCATTCGATCAGAAATCACAAAATCTTTCTTTGGACTAAAGATTAACTATGGAATTGCATTTTGATTATACATTCATTACCCATCTTTCATATCTATTTTGCTATAATTGTAGTAGTATATAATGTTAATTCTGTTTGTATTTAAGTTTTCCAGCCAGATATTATGATATTTTATACAGTAATCATTTCACTTTAGATGTTCTGGGTATTTGTTTCTGTATTGTACAGCTGTTGAATTTTCTTTGTTTGCAATATGTTTTGATATGTAATAAATTATCTTTTATAAAATATTTGTTTCTTTTGTGAAAGAGATTGAACTTCATTAGCATTGCATGTCTTTGGCCTTTGGGCCATTTTTCACCAAATGGAATATTTTTCATTAAAATTTAAAGTTTATGATAAATTAAAATGTATAATTTTTAATCTACCTTTGACACTGTGGCTATTTAAAAAAAAAACTTACAGTAAAACTTGTTTTAGTACATACACAGATATTGTGAATTCACAACTACAGCAAAGTTTTCTTTGATCCCCATCTATACATTTTATATGAATTCCTTGTATGGATGTAATGAATTGCAGATATAGGGATGTAAATTCACAGATTACAGTGACTGTTATAACTAAGTTTTTAACATAGTGGAGACTGCTTGAATAAGTTAATTAAAATCAATCTAATTCAGATCATTGTCAGTTTTCCTGATTAGATAATAAAGATAAATGTATATGCTTCTGATAATGTTTGCTTAACTCATTTAAACCCTTACCACAAAAAAATTTAAAGATGTATGATTTTACAATGCAGATTCAAAAGGGGGTCATACTAAAAAGCACAATGGTTGCTTATTACTAGGGGCATTGTCATGACCCTGAGACTATTTATAGTCCCTCTGGTCAAAGAAGGGCAATTAAACAAGTCTTTATAATACTTAGAGTATTCAAAATGAGCTAGTATTGGATAAAAAGACAGATACCTGGATGACCTTAATAGCAGACTATGATAACCGATATCTCATTTTGGCACCCAACAGGACATCACTAAATATATTTTTGAATAATTTATGAATTCTCCCAATATTACGATCAACTCTGTGTGATTTGTGGTATACTAGTCTGTTAACTTTTATAGTACTGGTACATTATCTTAATTGTTTATTATTAATGTATCTCGTTATGGTAGCATTGGTTTATTACATGTATTTGCCAAATTAAATGTTTTATGAACAAGTAAGTATATTCTTATATGCTTGAGGTACTTTCAATCATTAACTCATAATATATGATAATTTTTGCTAATGCATATTGTTTTTTAAGGTAAGATGTACATGTACTTCTATCTTTGATTTTGTAGCAAGTTGGTTTTGATGAGGAAGAAGCAGGCCAGTCCTGGACTCACCATTTAGAGACAGCGTCCATTGTCAGTAGATCAAGGAGGCTAGGTAGGTGTTTCCTGTTTACACCTTGCCTGATTCTCATTCAAGACTACCGCTTAGAATCAAGTTCCAAATTCACCCTTTCCAACATTACATTTTAAAGGATGAATAAATTGAATTGCCACAGTGGATTCAATATTTTATTCAAGGATTCAATTTTCATTTAAAGTAATATGTGTAAACTGTTTACTGTTTTATAAGGCTCCTATGCAACAATGCAATGTTTCTTTGCGTTTCAAATGGGGGAAAATGCACAGAAGGTTCAAACTAAGTGTTTGAATTGATATCTTAGAAACATACAGGCTAAATCATTTGGTTGAGATCATATTTATTCATTTGAATTTCACAGACATGTGCATTTACTCTTGAGAAATAGAAAATGTCATATTTAATATACTGTTGATTTACAAGGTAAATATGCTGAAGGCAAAATAGTGGTGTTGTTCATAGTTGTGCATGGTAATGCATATAGGTGCAGTATGCATCAGTATATTGACAAATTAACATTGATTGTTCTATAATTCACAGATTGTGAAGATTCTGGATCTTGCACACTTTCTGAGGAGACAGGAGAATGTGAAAAGAGAGATTACAGACAAATAGAGCTGTCTGATGAGACAAATAATAACTGGAACATACCTGTACCAGTCAACCATACAACTTCTCCAAATACCACCTTATTTGATAAACCACAGGACTCCTCACTAAGTCATCCTAACATTGACTCTACACATTCTGCAATCCATAGAGAAAAAGCCGAAAGTATCAACAAACCAGTGACCCGTAACAAATCCTTCGTCACCTCAGATTTCCTACAGAGGTATAGCGTGGCTAGAGAGTTACCTCCCCTGACCCAGAGACCAGCAGCCCCTGTGATCCAGGTGTCGCCACTACACAACAGAGCCAGGATGAGTGAGGGGGAGAAGGAAGTGGTAGAACAGTTATCTCCCCATACCTACAGGAGCAGCAGGACATTACTGTTGACAGAACTCAATGACAAAGTCAAAACTGTACAAGTCAATGGCCAGGGGTCATCCAACTGTGAACATGAATCAGTCAGCAGTAACAGAATTGAACCAAGGTCAGTATTCACATTTTAGAATTCATGAAATGGACTTGAAAATTGCAGAGTTTTGAGATATACATCTGCTTTATTTAATACTGTATACAGGGTTATTTTCGCCCCGTGTTACTTTTGCCCTTTTGCATTTGTGAGCAATTTTGCCCCATTTTAAATTCGCCCAGTCATAGTTTGTTTTTAAGAAAATATGCTGTGTAATTTGAATTCGCCCTGTTGTAAATTCGCCCAATCAAGAAGAGGGCGAAAGGGACGAAAATAAAACGGGTGCGAAAATTTCCCTGTATACAGTACTTAAAAAGCTTTTCCTGAATTTACCTTTGAAATTTCTCTAAAGATTATAAAAATTGTTGAGGTGCATTTAGAACAACATTCTATACTACAGAGCTCTGTTTTCTAGAGACATGTCAGAGAATTCACAGAGACCCAGTCCCACTTCCTCCTTTTCGGGGTCAGCCAGGAGCAGCCCCACCCCACCCCACACAGGACTGATCGCTGAGCTGAAGAAGGCTGCTGTTGCCCCAACCCTAAAGAAAACCAAAAAACCAACGGAGGAAGGAAAAATGAACTTCATATACTCATTTGGAGGACCAGTAAAAACAGGCTCATTAACCAATGGAGCTTCTAATCATAATTCTAGTGAACACTCTTATCAGGCAGGAATACTTTTGCTTTTCAAATGGTTGCTTTTCTTCTTTTAAAATATATTGTATTTTAATTTTTTTTTTAAAATATCTGAATGGGTGTCTCCTTCAAATCCACTAGAGTCATTCGGGTGACCTGTTGCAGTCTGTTTTCTGCACAGGAGTCTGCATCTTTGCTAGCCAAAGGTTTCTGATACGCTACTCTCCTCATAAACCCTTGGCATACGGTGAAGTCAAAAGACGGGATTGTTTTTGTCACATGATGTCGAATCAATCAGGTACACAGAGATTGTGTCATCGGCAGAAATAAAGACGCGTGTTTAAGAAAATTAAATCAAAAGCTTTTTCAAGAATATTTAAGAAGCAATCACTGAGTTATGTTTATTTATTATTTATAGTACAAATCGGAAGGTTCAATTTAGATTCTTAATCACATATTTAGAAGATATTGAATGACACCATATCTATTCATAGAATTGCATATGTTATCTTACAGATCGTTGTTTACTTGTGTTTTTCATTTCCGAGATTAAAGAGTGAAGAAGTATTCCGAACGCAAATATCGTCATTTACAAAAAACAATTGCTGATTGGTCGACCGGGTGTACCGAATCCCAATCAGAACTCGAGAAAAAAAACCCAACTTCTATCAACACCGTATGCCAAGGGTTTATGAGGAGAGTAGTGTATCAGAAACCCTTGGCTAGCGAAGATGAGGTGTCTGAAGTTTTTATCGTAAAAAAAAAATTTTTTTTTTTGACGATAAAAACTTCCGACTCCTGTGGTTTTCTGGCATGCTATTTTGAATGTGAAACATGCACTAACTTTGGAACATTTTCAGCTTGTGTCACAAACCATTTTCAACCAAATTTAATATATAATATCCTTGGGTAAAGCCTAAGAAAGGAATTTTTGTTCAATTTCATGTGATCTGTCCCCCTGGGCCCCAGAAGGATGGAGGCAAAATTAATGCATTCTTCATAAATCTTCATCTGGACATCAAGTAGGGTGTTATTTAATTTGAAATGTATTTTCATTTTAGCCAAAGAAAGAAAAAATTGTATTAGAGGGAGACTTTGATCCCAAAAATTTTATGGACCAGGTTGAGAGTGTAGATAAGTCTGGAAACTCAATGCCCGATTGGAAACGACAAATGTTGGCCAGAAATCTGGCAGAGAAAGCCTTTAAAGAGCATGAGGAAAAGAGGAAGGTACAGTGTATATATCTTTTTGTTGTAACTACAAAGTCTGAATATTTTTTATGCCCCACCATGAAAATGGCCAGGGCATATAGTGTTTGTCATGTGCGTCTTCCGTCCTTTCGTCCTTCTGTCCTTCCGTCTGTCTTTCCGTCACACTTTGCATTTAGCTCTGTTCAAAGCTAAGTTTCAAAGAAACTATCCAAGATATTTTCATCAAACTTCATATGCTGATAGATATTGATGAGAGCTATGCAACTGCATCAACATTTTTTGACCTTGAACTTTCCTTTGACCTTGACCTCACTTTTCTTCTATTAGTGTTTAGCTCATTTTTAAACATACCATTCAAGATGGTGTTATCAAACTTCACATGTTGATACAAATTTGCACTGACGATGCATCTAGGGATGAACACTACCAGACTTGCTTCGGATGCTGGATCTGACCTACATTTTCCAGATGAGTGACCAGGTTAAAGTTTTTGGAGGAGGTCCATTCCTAAGGAACTATAAGCCCTACTTGGACCAAACTTGCATGGATGATCAATGCATCTAAGGATTGACACTACCAGACTTGCTTCGGATGCTGGATCTGACCTACATTTTCCAGATGAGTGACCAGGTTAAAGTTTTTGGAGCAGGTCCATTTCCAAGGAACTATAAGCCCTTCCCAAACCAAACTTGCACGGATGATGCATCTAGAGATGAACACTACCAGACCTGCTTCGGATGCTGGATCTGACCTACATTTTCCAGATGAGTGACCAGGTTAAAGGTTTTGGAGCAGGTCCATTCGTAAGGAACTATAAGCCCTACTTGGACCAAACTTGCATGGATGATCAATGCATCTAGGGATGGACACTACCAGACTTGCTTCAGATGCTGGATCTGACCTATATTTTCATTTCCAAGTAACTATACGTCCTGCCTGAACCAAACTTGCATGGATGATGCATCTAGGGATAGACACTACCAGACTTGCTTTGGATGCTGGATCTGACCTATATTTTCATTCCCAAGTAACAAGTGTATATGCCATGTAAGGGGTTAAACACAACTTTCAAGAATATTGTTGTTGGGATAAATACTAAATATTAAGAAAATATGATGAGAGATTTGCATTTAACTTACACTGATAACATTTGTGGAGGTGAGCTTCATAATCTTTGATTACCGATGTTTTATTAAAGACATCATTTCTAGATATTTTTATCAAACTTCATATATGTGATACATACTGATGAGAGATATGCAACTGCATCAACATTTTTGACCTTGACCTTTGCTTTAACATTGACCTTACTTTTCCTAAATTAGTGTCAAACATCATAAGTTTATAGATATTGAGGTAAGCATTTCAAGTGTATCATCATTTTTTACCTCTCATTTGACCTTGACCTCACTTTTATCCATTTTTGTTTAAGTCAGTTTTAAAGAAACCATTTATAATTATATTTTCAACTTCATTTGCTGATACTTACTGATGAGAACTTTTCAACTGAATCAACAGTTTTTGCCCTTGGTATTTCCTTTGACTTTGACCTCACTTTAATGAAATTAGTGTCAAACTTCATATGCTGATACGTATTAATGTAAGCAATTCAGCTGCATCACTATTCAAGATATTGTGATCAAATTTTATACACATACAAATTTTCATGTTGCTTTACTAATATATCCTTGGTGGGGCATTCATGTCCTATGGACATATTTCTAGTTATTTTGCGCTTTGGCCCATCATCTTTATATGTTTGCTTAAGATTGTAACACTGTATCAAAGGCTAAAGCAAAAGATGTTGTCAGACAGCAGCAATAATGTAGCACTTTCTAATTGTTTAATTTGATACATGTATTCTAGCTCCCTCCCGATAAAAAAATAGAGAAAGGGAGAGGATTACATTGCTGCAGCTATGAGACATTATTTAGCAAAGTGATTTTTAGCTCTACTGGTCAGAGACCAGAAGAGCTTATGCGATAGTAATGCGTCCGGCGTCCGTCCGTCTGTCTGTCTGTCTGTCTGTCTTCTGTCTGTCCGTCTGTAAACAATTTTTCAAAATGCTACTCCTCCTACAGTATTGGTCTGATTTCAATATCACTTGGCACACAAGTAGACTACACTAAGATACATAATTCTGTGTATAGGTTTTTGATTTCGATGAACGGTGTTGCCGTGGTTACTAAAAATAGAAATTTCTGTGAAATTCTTTCAAAATGCTACTCCTCCTACAGTTTTGGTTTGATTTCAATATAACTTGGCACACAAGTAGACTACACTAAGATACATAATTCTGTATATCGGTTTTTGATTTCGATGAACGGTGTTGTCGTACTAAAAATAGAAATTTCTGTGAAATTCTTTCAAAATGCTACTCCTCCTACAGTTTTGGTCTGATTTCAATATAACTTGGCACACAAGTAGACTACACTAAGATACATAATTCTGTGTATCGGTTTTTGATTTCAATGAACGGTGTTGCCGTGGTTATTAAAAATAGAAATTTCTGTGAAATTCTTTCAAAATGCTACTCCTCCTACAGTTTTGGTCTGATTTCAATATAACTTGGCACACAAGTAGACTACACTAAGATACATAATTCTGTGTATCGGTTTTTGATTTCGATGAACGGTGTTGCCGTGGTTACTAAAAATAGAAATTTCTGTGAAATTCTTTCAAAATGCTTCTCCTCCTACAGTTTTGGTCTGATTTCAATGTAACTTGGCACACAAGTAGACTACACTAAGATACATAATTCTATGTATCGGTTTTTGATTTCGATGAACGGTGTTGCCGTGGTTACTAAAAATAGAAATTTCTGTGAAATTCTTTCAAAATGCTACTCCTCCTACAGTTTTGGTCTGATTTCAATATAACTTGACACACAAGTAGAACACACTAAGGTACATAAATCTATTTATCAGTTTTTGATTTCGATGAACTGTGTTGACGTGGTTCTAAAAATAGAAATTTTGTGAAATTCTTTCAAAATGCTACTCCTCCTACAGTTTTGGTCTGATTTCAATGTAACTTGGTACACAAGTAGACTACACTAAGATACATAATTCTCTATATCGGTTTTTGATTTCGATGAACGGTGTTGCTGTGGTTACTAAAAATAGAAATTTCTGTGAAATTATTTCAAAATGCTACACCTCCTACAGTTTTGGTCTGATTTCAATATAACTTGGCACACAAGTAGACTACACTAAGGTACATAATTCTGTGTATAGTTTTTCACTTCAATGAACGGTGTTGCCACGGTTACTAAAAATAGAAATTTCTGTTTAATACTCTCAAAATGCTACTCCAAATACAGTTTTAGTCTGATTATAATGTAATGTGGCATGCAAGTAGACTACACTAAAACATAAAGAGACTTAATCAACGATCATTTTTCTATTAATTGCTGTTGAAAAGTTTCAATTCCCAACTGCCTAAGTACTTTTCTCTTCTTTTGCTATAAGTACAAACCAGTAGAGCTTCAGTCTCGACAGAGACTTCTGGTTAGACAAGTCATGTCAAGAGGGGTTTTTTTTCACTGTAGGATTTATATAGAATTTTAGCATGAATTAATTATTTTATTGTTTACTTTTTATGTGTCAATTTAAAGTTAATAAGAATGTTCAAAATGCTATACACGACAAGATTGATGAAAAAAAATATTAACCTCTGTTTTTGGAAACTTAAATTATGCGAAGTTTTTCATTTTTGTTTGTCTTTGGCAACCTTTCACTCACAACCATTATGCAAATAAAATTTAGTTTTTACTTTTGAGAATTCTAATTTATCAAAATTGTTTTGATGCAGCTTGAAGAAATAGAAGCCAGGTTTAAGAACATGCCACTATGGAAGAGACAACTGATAGAAAGGAAGGAGGCTGAAGCAAAGTAAGCAACAACATGTATATGCATTTGAAGACTATTTTTATGGTGCAAAATTGCATTGAATTTCAGTCAGCTGAATGTTTTATTGTATTTGCCTCTTTGGTTTAGGAATTTTAGGAATTGGTAAAACAAAGGACAAAAAATTGAGGCACATCTATTTTTTTTTTCAGAGCTTCGGCAGAGCAGGCAAATAAAAAGAAGTAGCAGTGTGTGGAGCTGTCCACCAGGCATGCTTCTAATCTTATTTACGATTTCTGACTTCAAATTGCTGTCTCAATATGTATATGAAATCCCACAATCTGTGCAATTGTCTGAATTGTTGATATTTTTGTTACATTAATGTTTATATTTATTGTGCAATGTCTTATGCTGTTTGCTTGTTTTGTCAAATTTTCAGCAGAAATGCAAAAACACATTTTTTTAACAAAGCTATTACATGTATTTTGCAATAGATCTTCAGCATTTTAAGATTTTTAATGACAAGAAAAGGTTGTTGATTTCTGAAATGATGTTTGTAACTTTCTGTGTACCCCCTCCTTTATTGGAGAGTATTGGTTGTAAAGAGGTGCTATTATAATTGCAATGTATACTGCTTCCAAATCAGTAGAATTATAAATAGGTACTTTTGCTGTAAATTTCAATTGTTGAAGAATATTCAGTTTTATCCTTTGGATGCATATCATATTAAAATGAAAGCATGTACATGTTCTTCACAAAATTTTAAATCTCAGATGTATATGTTCATTTACATTGTAGATTGGAATAATATTGATGATAAGTTTGCCAAAAATGGGTGATAAATCATGCAGTACTTACAGTTTTACAAAGATTTATCTATGATTTTTAATGATCTTTTCGAATTCTTAATTTTTAGCTACATTCTTTTTACAGTATCAGTCATGCACAACAACAAAATTTGTCATATATATGACAAGATGTTGTGTGATGGTCACATTTACGCAAATTCAGTAACAGAGCATAGAAAATTGTACATGATATTAAATGTTTTGCAATTTTATGTGAATCAAGTGTTAATACTTGTATTTGTTATGAAAATAAATGTCACACAAACATGTCAAGTATTCTTAAATACTTAAGTGTGAAAAATTTGCAAACTCAACCGATTTTAAATTCCTGTCTATTGCTGTCATACTTTGTGATAAATACGCTTAAGATATGGAGAAAATTTCTGGATATGACATTAGAAATACAAATTTTGTGACCTGGGATTATCCCAGGAGGTTTACTTTAACAAAGCCCTAATAAATAATGTAGAAGTCCAACATTGACAAAATACAAGGAATATGCTGTGAAAGTAGAACATTGATAAAACACAATTATGTCCAAAAATTGATTTCAGTTATGTAAAGATGCATTTGCAGATTATTTTAAACCTTCATATAATTGAATGAAATTTGGCATCAAAAATCAATATACATGTAGTGTAGATAAAGGGAATTATATATGTAAAGGACAAGGTATAGTAACAGCTGAATCTGGACCCTTATTTGATGTAAAAATCAGACCATGCACAGTTAACTGTGATAGTTTGTTGAAAAACTTAAATTGATGCATGTAGCAGAACTCAACTGATATTGGGAAGTGAATGGTGACTCGGTGAGCATTGTTGCCCAAGGGCCTTTTGTACATTCAACTTCCAAATGTAATAACAAATGACAGAGAATAAGATGTTCTTTTTATTAAAAACAGTCTTAGCAGTGCAACATAAAAATAAACAATACCAACCATTTAATTTTCACAATAATTTACATGTACATGTAATTGAGTACCTTGCAAGAAAACAAAGAACAGCACTTAAAATAATTCACTGATACTTGCTGAAATAAATGAAAATAAATACATTTACCACAATGCATCTTCAAATAAAGATGGCTATTAAAATAATTTGCAGCCATGCAAGCTCTCCTTGCAGCCCATCTCAAACTTTCCCATTCTCTCCACTTAAAAGAAAAAATTATAATCACAGCTTTTCAATATTGCATAAGGTTTCTTTTTCTAAAAAAAAAGACATCCCTTTTTTCACAAGTTAAAATGAGTAACAACCAACAGGATATTGATAATACTCTGTATTTTCTTTTTTGTCCTTGTCTTAATTTGCTTCAGTTTTCCTGCTGTACATTTTCATCGTTTTTGTTCCCTGACTTTGAGGGAGTTCTCCAGCTGTGTGGCAGTCATTCTACATGTTCTTTGCAAGGAGAAATCTTCAATCTCAAACACAGGCATCTCCTCAATCTAGTGAAATCAAAATTATCATGTTAGCTGGGGAAAAAAATTTCATTCCCTATAACATTCTTATTTAAATACAGTAAAACATGCTTATAGCAAACACAGTTATAATGAAATGGCACTTAGAGCAGTGATTTGTATTCCCCATATAATGAAGCTAACAGATATAGCACTTTCTATGTTTTGTTATGTTTTTTTTGTTTTTATATTTTATGTTTTTCCCATCTTTATAAATGATATCTGATAATTAACCACACATTTAACTCCTATTCCTAAATGTTTATTTACCTTTCAACGGTTCAAGAAGGGTTGTTTGTGGACATGGATGTAAAAATGGAAATCTTTTAAATCGACATTCCGAATCCAAAGAGGACTATTTTGGACCATTGAAAGGTAAATAAGTATCAATAATTTGAGTAAAGTATATGATAAATTATTGGATACCATTCTAAGAGCATAAAAAAGCATAAACTATAAGAAATGATGCTTGAAGTGAGCGACAAACAAGAGGCCCATGGGCCACATCGCTCACATGAGCACCAAGGGTAGGACTAGTATAAAATGGCTTTTTATTGTAAAGTTTAAATCCAAAAGTAGTCCCATGACCAATCATGGATTTGCTATTTTTTAGAAAATGATTGAGAAGCAGATTTTTAAAGAATTTTCCTATATATCTCTATGTAAAACCTTGGTCGGCCATTTTGGCCCCGCCCTACCCCCGGGGGTCATGATTTGAACAAACTTGAATCTACACTACCTCAGCATGCTTCCATATATATATGATGAATTATGGCTTTGTCATTCTTGAGAATAAGATTATTAAAGAATATACCTATAAATTTCTATGTAAAACATTGGTCGGCCATTTTGGCCCCGCCCTACCCCCCTGGGTCATGATTTGAACAAACTTGAATCTACACTACCTGAGCATGCTTCCATATATATATGATGAATTATGGCTTTGTCATTCTTGAGAAGAAGATTTTTAAAGAATTTTCCTATATATTTCTATGTAAAACTTTGGTCAAACCCCCGGGGGTCATGATTTGAACAAAATTGAATCTACACTACCTGAACATGCTTCCATATAAATATGATGAATAATGGCTTTGTCATTCTTGAGAAGAAGATCTTTAAAGAATTTTCCTATATATTTCTATGTAAAACATTGGTAGGCCATTTTGGCCCCGCCCTACCCCCGGGGGTCATGATTTGAACAAACTTGAATCTACACTACCTGAGCATGCTTCCATATAAATATGATGAATTATGGCTTTGTCATTCTCGAGAAGAAGATTTTTAAAGAATTTTCCTATATATCTCTATGTAAAACTTTGGTCGGCCATTTTGGCCCCGCCCTACCCCCGGGGGTCATGATTTGAACAAACTTGAATCTACACTACCTGAGGATGTTTCCCCATAAGTTTTATCTTTCCTGGCACAGTGGTTCTTGAGAAGAAGATTTTTAAATTATACCACTAAATTTTCATTAATTCCCCATTATCTCCCCTTGAATATGGGCGTGGCCCTTCATTTGAACAAACTTGAATCCCCTTCACCCAAGGATACTTTGTGGCAAGTTTGGTTGAAATTGGCCCAGCGGTTCTTGAGAAGAAGTCGAAAATGTGAAAAGTTTACAGACAGACAGACGGACGCCGGACAAAATGTGATCAGAAAAGCTCACTTGAGCCTTCGGCTCAGGTGAGCTAAAAATCGAAGGTTTTTACACCGCATGGATCTGTATCTATCTGCTTTATCTGTCTGAATTTTCTCAAGCAAAGAGCTACAGTTCTGGCCTGGGGGCCATAAAACATAAATGAGCTCACACTTGATCTCAGTCTCACTTTTTCCAAAAGAATTAATACATGTAGTGGAAAAGTGAGTCTGAGATGAAAAGTGAGCTCGTCCAAGTTTTATGTCCAAAGGCCTGCAGCTAGCACAGTTTGAGCTTACAAAGTTAGAAGTTTAATTCACATTTGTCCAGCTGTTAAAATTCTATGTCAGAGCCTAAATCATTTGTACCCCGATATTGCATCTATTCATAAGAAAATACAGGTACAGCAAAACTCGTTTAGTACGAACACGGATATAGCGAATTTACGGATATAGCGGAGTCATCTTGGATCCCCAGCTATATAAATTTAATGAATTTCTTATATGAATATAACGAATTACGGATATAGCGAAGTGATTTCATAGGTCCCTGTGACTTCGTTATAACCGAGTTTTACTGTACATGTATTTACTACCTGGAAAAATTTTATCCAGATGTCGGACAGCACTTGACAAAACCTCTCTTTCTCAGCCTCATCATTGAAGTAGAACACCCATTTGTCTTGACTATGTCCACCATCATAGGACTCAAACTCCTATCAAAAGTAAAGTACCAGCATGTGATACACAGTGAAATTCAATTTTTCTCCCAATCTCTTAGTCTACCTTGATTAAGAATTAATAGTATATTATATAAGTTCCTTCTTTATTTTTGAAAAATATGCTATAAAAATTAAAAATACCTGGTGGCTATATAATTATATCTAATGTGAATTTCAACTTATAAGCTTTGACGAAAATTAATGTGGAAGAATTTTGATTATTCTCGTTTTATGCTCATCTCATGTGGAAACAATGTAAAAGATTTTACGATAATTTTGTTTTTCTGTGAAAAATTCGTGTAATCATTCAAGATAAATGCATATAAAGTATTTCATAGGAAATAATATAAATTATTTTTCTGCCATTCACGCAAAATATGCCGTGAACATCAAATGAGACAATTTGCCTGTGAAATGGGTAATTTAAAAGGTTTGGTGAATCTGTGTATTACATATATTATTGATCAAGTGTTCAGATAAAGATTGTGATGTTACATATTTGTTTGAAGATCAAAAGAAAGTTTGGAGAAGGAATAAATGATACAGTGTATTGGGTATGTAGACTCACCAATATACAGTAGGTGTTGACTGCAGGATCAATAAGAACACACACAATATCAGCTATATTAGCACTGCCCAGCGTTCTGAAGAAACTGATTTGTAGATCCTCATGAAAAAGGAAGAGCTTGTTGGAGGTCAGGATAGCACAGCAGGGCAGACAGCTTGGCTTAGCCAATTCTTTTTTCTACAAAAAACACAAACTGATATATTATCGTTTTACAGACAAATCTTGTTATCTCAAAGGGACAGAGAACAAAACTTGGAGAAATCTATGGATTGTAGAAGTCCATTTGTGGATAATCATTTATATTTCAGTGAAAAAGATATGGCCTCCTTATAATTTTAATTTTCTTAGTATGACTTTCAAAATGATGTTGGATCAGTTCATGACATACTTTTAAGTCATATGCAATCGTTGTATGAAGTATGAACTTCCAGTGTCAGTTAAAGAGTTATGGACCAGTTTCAGATTTTTTTTTTTCATTTTTCTACCAATGACCTTGAATCTAAATATCTCCATCCTACCTGTAAGCCCTCGGCCACGGCCTGACATAATCTCTGTAGCCAGTCATTAGCCTCTTCTTCATTGGCTAATGCGAACTGCCACGACGACCCGTCCTGTTTTATGACCTCTATAGAGTGGTCCCTGTCAGACTTACTGGCGCGGCGACACCCGGTACAGTCATCACCCATGTGGACAAACATGGCGGGCTTCCCGTTCTTCTCAAAGTACACACACAACATTCCATCTCTGACAAAAAAAAACTACACAGTGCAGGGGATGGTAAAATAATTTCTTCTTTCTCGTAAGTAAAAAAGTTATTTTTGACTCCTGTGAATTTGTAAAAGAAAAGTTTTGATTCAATTTAGTTTTTACTCTCATACAAGCAAATTAAATTTTGAGTCCAAACACAAAGGGCACTCTATGGCACCAAATTTTAAAAATGAATTGAATAAAAAAATTATTGTTATATTTGTTTGGACAAAAATAACATAAGGAAAACATTTACTTCCAAACAGCATCAGATCAATATTATTTATCATGTTACCTCAATATAACATATGCTGATTTCCAGCTCTGTCCATACAATAGAGACTTGGGGTCCTGTACTGTATTTAATATCTGACTGCTGATCCCTGACAGCCCCCCGGAGGAATCCACTACTCTGTATAGCAGGTGCCCCTCCCGATAGGCTGTGTCCACTTTGTGTTTCTTGGATTCTAAATCGGATCCCCAGTGTACCAAAGAATAGCAAGCAATTTCCACTTCCGATGTCTAAATCAGAGAATATGGGGATCAAGAAATGAATGCTCATCATGTTGTATATATATCATTTGTTTCTTCACTTTTTCCATTGCAGTTTAATCTTTATGCATTCTGGTTATACATATACCCATACACATATAACTGTAAAAGAGCCCTTACTTCACAGCTGCTTTCCTTGGCTATGTGCTTTCTCAGTGCTATCATCTGAGTTTTGGCATCAGACAGCACACTGATCTGTTTGTCCTGTAGATGCTTCATCTGATCCTGTATGCAGTCTACGATACACCTGATAAAGTATAACATTTTATATTAGATTTCAAAGGATTAAACATTATGCCATCATTACAATGGGAAGAGGTTCCTATTATCTTTTCATTTTAGTAATAGGGGTATAAGAGATTCTTATAAAGGCATATAGAGTAGAACCTTGATAATTCAGAATGTCTGACACTTTTCAATATGTTTTTGATGTTAGAAACATTCCATGTATTGACTTCCAGTAAACGCTACCTTGTGACTTGCTGACTTCCTGTTGTTAGCCAGTACTGGTTTCTTCGTTTCTTACACACAATGTGGATAATCTGGTCCGAGATTGTTAACTGAAAAAAAGCAATTTTACTGTAAGTCACATACACTATAAACACACTCTGATTTATTTTTAGTAGAACAATTTTAAAAGCAGGGATATAGTTTTAAATGTTTATTGAAAAGGGGGTCATAAATATTTGAAGTGAGTTGAACATTTTCTTTACATAATTTAGCCCCATTTACCCTAATCACAAGGTTTTCTTTTGTTCCCATTGAGTTTGAGATAAGGAGTTTGGCTGCATGTCATATCCCCCCCATCAACACACACACACACACATACACATCCTCACACACATAAAACCATGTTTGAAAGTATAAACTAAATACATGTAGCATTAAAAAAAAATTTAAAACAGGAGGTTTACTCCTTACAGAGATGTAGTCTATAGAAGAGTATGGTATAGAGCAGTCCTTGATGAATGTAAAGTTGCTTTGGTTTTGGTTGAGGAGGTAGATTCCGTGGTCAGTGAGAAGTATGAACACAGGGTGGTCATCTCCGTCCGTGTGACCCAGCCGTGACACGTACATCTGGTCAAAATAAAGCATAGGATTATAAACAACAGACTAGCAAATGACAGAGATTATGGTTCTTAAATATTTAAAAGACAATGGATGTGTACAAATTTTATTTTTTCACCTTCTGAGCTGGAAAGTGGAAATATTGCACCAATTAATTGTTACCATCAAAATACAAAGTACATATATACATGTACATGCAAATGCATCTTAAGATATCTGAACAAAAAACTTACCCTTACAAATTTTTCCTCTGAATTTTCAAATATATTCAGCATAAGCTCCAACCTAGTGTTGTTCTCTAACCTATAAAAACTTGACTAGTAAAAAACAAATCCTACACACAGTATAAACTGTAGCAATAATAAGCAAGTATAATACTTCTAATTTTGTGCAAAGTCTGAAGTCTCGTACAAGAAAGTAGCAGTGAATCAAAACTATATTATAGAGATTATATACCAGTCAAATTTTTGAACATTGAGAGTGAGAATCTTGAAAGATTGATTCTTTGATATAATCTTTGTTAGTATGTACATGTAGTGTTACAATTTGACTGCTACAACAAAACACCTTCACAACCCACCTAACTTCCCCAGGATGGAGTTGGTTGACATCTTTCTCTACACTCAGCGTCAACTCCTCTGGCTCTTCCTCAAACATGTGTGGTTGTAACGTGGCATCTGATTGGCTGATTATGTTATCCACCATGTCTTGCATCAGAGAAGCTGAAGATGGTTTATCTGCTGTAGAAAAACTAGAGGAGTATATACTTAGATCATCTGATGTACTCTTTGTCACTTCACTGCTCTGACTATCTGGGCCACTATCTTTTTCATTACTAGTCTGTGTTTTGCTGTCTGGTTGCTTGTTGTCTACATCTTCATTAATACTGCCATATAAATTGTCTTTAATATCACAGGTTACATTGTCATGGTTATTAGAAATACTATATTGCACATTCCCAATACTAGACATACACACATCAGTCTCATCACTTTGTTTCTGAACTTTTTGGTTTACAGAACTGTTTTCAATATGAAAATCATTGATTTTTTCACTCACTTCATCCACTTCACTGAAATCATATTCCTTTACCTCCTGACTTTTGTACACATCAACCTCCGTGGATTTATTCTCACTCTCACACACACTAGAAGTAACTCCATTCATTTCCTTGACATGTTCTTGAGAGCCATCCACTTCACTATCTATCAGACTGTTGAAATCATTCTCCGATGATTCATTTCTGTGTATTGTGTGACTTTCTCCAATAGAACTCAGAATATCTTGTAGCTTTTCCTCTTCTCTAAATTTGGAGACATACCCTGGTTCTTTCTCTTTTTCCACAGTTTTAACTTCAGGCTGTGGATCTTCCACTGACTTTTCCTCCACAGTTTCCACAAATTCCTCCTCATATTCATCTAAAGGTTCAATGAGTACAGGAGAGGCACTTTTTTTCTTTGATTTTCGTTTTTTGCTATGCCCATGTTTGCTATGCCCTTTGAGTCTAATAACCTCAATGCTTGGTTCTTCCTGCGAGTTCTCGAGCTCACCAGCCACAACTGAGTCCAGTCGCTGAGCCTTATTCTCCGCACAGCTGTCATTCTTCAGCAAGTGGAGATTTGGATCAATGCTGCTTGTATCACTTGTGTCAGAACAAGTTTCTATGGAAGAGTAGGCATTCTAAAAAAAAGAATTTTAAAAAATTCTTTACCATTTATTTTACCATTTCAATTATAGAAAAAGATTTGTTCATGGTGAATCACAGGCAGCAAAAATGTTCTTATCTTGACATCCATAACTTATAATTACATGTATATCAAGTTAAATACAATTCAACATTTAAAATGGAAAATATATTTCAAAAATTATCCATTTAGAATTTATAAAAATAATTTTATTTCAAATTAAGGAAAATAGATTTATTTGTAGTGAATCAAGGGCATCAAAAAAAAGCTTTTTGTCATCCATTATTCATTATATCAATGTAGCTTCCTTCTTCAGTAAACTGGAATTTTTTTTTTCATAATCAGAAAGTTTTCATTACTAAAGATATTGTTATGAGCATGTTTTTATTTTACTCAGTCAACTAATAATCATAATGCTAGTGGAGCATAGAAACAGTGTAATACCGAGGGTCTGATTGAGGCAATGCTATCCATACTGCACAGTGACACACGATCGTCGTCAATCTGGGCTGATAGCTGGGAGACAGATCGGGGGCGGGGAGACACCCCCAGGTCCAGATAGGGTAGGTCCTGATCAGAGAGAAAAATAGATGTTAATGTAAGTAAAACTGTTGCTTAAGAGAAATAAATACAAACATATGACTAAAAAGGGATGGGGTGTTACCAGTGCTCTTTTAAGATTCAGTCAAAGTGATATTTTGCAGCAGATATTTTTTTTCAACACTTTTAAAATGGCATTTTCAAGCAATTTATCTCAAATTCGTAAATAAAACACATCAAAACTTTTAATGATATCTCTGCTAAATACTGTGGGGAAAGAGGGATATACATGATCAATCAAAGTTTTACTAGTTCCTGGGCACATCTTTCATCATTTTGTTGATACCAAGTTCAATGAAGTGATGCTCCAATGTACTTGTAAATTTGTTGGTAATGGTGATCCAAAAAATTTATATAGTACATTGGTAACACCATGGACAATGATAATTCCACAATATATAAGTAAATATTAAACATACACTAAATGAATAAATGTAACTTACATATTCCAACTGAAACACTACAAACTCTAAGCCTGCAGTCAGAGTTAACAACACATTAACACTCTGCAAAAGAAAAAAAATTCAATATAGACAGCACTGATTTCATTTTTTTAGAGAGCCTGAAGACATTTATTACATAACATGCACTTCATTTTAAATATTAACAGCCAGTCTTAAGAGCACTAAATTGCTTTGTCACATTGAGAATACTTAACAAGTACTTATTTCCTGTTTCCCCAAAAAGACAAACTTAATCTTTATTAAAAATCAATAACTTAAATGAAGATGCTATAAAAAAAGCTGATTCTAGCTAAAATATTTCCTAATGAGTTTCAGTTATATGAGTATATATCACCTGTTGATTTAAAAGCAGGGCCTCTTTGACGTAGTGTTTTCGAACAGTTTTGATATTTTCCTCATAACACCTTACATAGCTCTCCAGCAAACAATCATTTAATGCCATGAACAGCCAGGCTCTTCCTGTAATTAAAAATAAAAATAAAGTCATCTTTACAGAGTTTTTCATTACCATAAGGAAGATATAATGCTATATAAGCCATATCTTAATGGTTGTATCTAAGCTTTTAGAGAGGTTCAAAATCAAAAGTAGCTTTATATAAAACTTTTGCTCATTTAAATTTAAATTGTTCACTTCTATAACAAAACAAAGTTCAGTAACTTAATTACAACCAGCTGTTTACTTTTTGTAATACTTGCTTGTGAATTATATGAAAGAAATATGAAATATAATTGAACCATAGACTTTTGAAACTAGCTAAGGAAATAATATACTTCAATATCATAAAATTTTTAGAATATGTGGCATTATGGGAAGGTCATAAAAACGGATACCTCTTCCCAAGTCTGTTGTAACATTCTGAAGCTGTTTTATCTTTTTGATGGTTTGCTTGTCTGTGAATTCTGACACCACTCTCAGGTATCCACGCTGTATGTGCTTCAGCCTTACAAAAACACACGGCAAAACAATTAATCAAGATGAGTTACTGTAAAACATCTATTTCTCATATCAAATTTTATTCAAGAATTTTAAGATTAATATCCACTAAGAGCTTTTAATATAGCCTGCATTTGTTCATGCAAGCTTATATTTAACAGAGCATATTGCTACTGTTCATTGTCGTATTTTTTATAACCAGAAGTTTAGCGAATGGAGTCTGTACAGATATATTTTTTTTTAATTTTATTTCAATGTTTAAAAAAAATTTACTATTAGGGGAATAAATGGGATTTGTCAAGAAACACTAGAATAGAATCTTTTACCTTACAAGAAATAAAAATAATTTTAAAAAATACATAATTTTTGACATAGATTGTTAAAGAGAAGTCTGCCTCAGAGATGTGATTTTTCTCAAATTGACGAGTCATGCTTAACTTGCACTTTTCTCCATATTCCATAGTATATGAAATGTAAATACCAAAGTACACATATTACTAAAGTAATGAAGAAAATGCAATTTCTAAGATGTAAACTAAAAAAATGCTTTCAAAGTACATCTAAGAATTACTTAAAATTATCAAAGTAAGGAACTTAATACAAAGCAGTAAATAACAAACTTGCATGTGATCATGTGAGGAATTTGTATTACATCTTACAAGTGCTTTTTTTCTTATAAGGAGTTATTTCGTATTAAAGTGGGTCTTATTATACATTCAAAATGGAGCATCACTTGAGTGCCATGAAAGCTACTGATATGAACTCTTGTATCTTAAATGCATATCTTATGCACATATTTATTTTGATCAGCAAATGTAATTTTTTTTAAGTCAAATATAGTCATGCTGATAAGGAAATCAAAGAAAAAAATGTGAAGATAAGAAAAACAATGATAGTTTATAAGGATGTGCGATTTTATCGGTATACCGGTATATCGCGATTTTTTGTTGCGTGATACGTATCGTGATACAGAGATCTAAATACCGGTCTTTAGGTACATATTATAAAATCCAAAAATTATTCATTTATTTGTTCAATCTTTCAAATTACAATTCCAGCAAGTATAAAAAATGATTAAAAAGTGAAAAGAACGGCATCTTACCGTCCAAACATAATTGATTTTGTATACATAAAAATTTCAAGAAAGTAAAATTTTGTTTTTATTGCATATTTTTTAGAAAAATAATGACTTTTCATATAAAATCTTTGTAAAAACTGCTTATAAGAATATTATGATATTATCGTGATATTGTGGGGAAAAAATCGTGATATATCGCGATACGAAATTTTTGGCGATACCCATCCCTAATAGTTTACAACAAAGACATTTCTAGACAGAAATGAGATTACACTGAACTGTAAGAAGTCCTTATGGATAGATGGATAAGGATTACCGGTAGATTTGAAGTTTTCGTGTTGGCGTGCAGAAGAGATAAAACATGAATATAGATAAAAACCAGTATTCTTACCCATGCAAGAAAACACGATCAAGGTTGTCACATAACTTCTGACAAGACTCATCATCATTTCCGAGGAAGACAGGATTTTCAGGATCAGCTGTTACATATTTACCTTGAATCTGATGAATAAGACGTACAATATAAGAAAAAAATATTTTATACTTCATCATTTCAGGCTTTTATCCGATTTAAATACATGGATTCAAATCTGTTATAATTAACAGACATCGTTTGTACTGAAAATGAGATTAATTTTTTGATAAATATATGTAATACATTCTCTGTTACTGACTAAGACAATAGATAAGTCATGTGACACTTGACTCCCATGTTGACATTGAAATCTTACACTTTTGACGGCTTTAGCGACGTTCTCTAGGATTTTCTCTTTCACGGTATGTCTTTCTAATGCTGAAGCCATCGCTGATCATCTTGAAATATCCATCTACATCATTAAAACAGCACTATATTCACATCATAACACCAACCCATCTTTTCTCTTGAGAAAATGAAAGTTGTCAGCTTAACTTCCGGTTAATCGGAACTCTTCTATTTTTTTCCAACACAAGATACACGTGTTTGTTTTCAGTAGATTTTGATCATTTTTAGCGTGACACTTTCGGTCATTATGGAAAGTGATACAAGTAAAGATCGTGTAAACTCAGTCGTAGAAACATACCATAATATACCTCGAGGTAAACCGAAATCTGGGAGGCCATGGAAAACAATAAGGAATGAACGGTATGAACTTTGAAACATTTTATTCACTCAAAGCCTCACTGATGAGACATAAGAGTACAGACATAACAAAATTTATAAACATCCTTGTCATGGGTATTCATGAGATTCAGAAAAAAAACTTATATGTATGATGAGAATGTAAAGCAGGGTAAATGACATGGAGTCATTTAACACTGTAACAAAATAGTAAAGCTCAAAACTGCACATCGAGACATTGGACATTCTGGTCAGATGAAAAAAATTGTGCATCGGACCAGAGACACTGCACATCGGTCAAGTCCGACAGTCCGATGTTTTTCACATAGACTGATGTATATGCTTTCCATAATTTTATGAATAAAATCACAATTATCATTATATGTTTATGAAATAGATTTTCTGCAATTCGAACTACCAAAAAGAAGGCTCTAAACTGGGATGAGAAGATGAAGAAGAGAGCAGAGAAAAAATCAATTAAAAACTACGAAAAAGAATTAAAAGAGAAACGGGCTAAAGAGTTGGAGGTAGGAGAAGCTCAAAGGTTTTATACTGCAGCTGTTTAAAGAACAAGAATGGCTGGACTTGTACTTTGCTAAATTTGAGCTCATTCAAAACTGATTCTAGCATATTACTGATCAGAAGTGAGTACAGTACTAAGTTTTGTGTCAACTAAAAATGGACTTTATTTTTTATCTTTTAGATGAAGAGAATGAGACAAGAAGAAAACAAAAGAAGACGGTTAGAAAATGAAAGAAAATCAGAGGTTGTTCAAACGGTAAGTAATGCTTTTGAAAAATAGATGTCAGATGTGGTCAAATATTTTTAGGTCACCTGAGTAAACTCAGGTGACCTATTGCTATCACTTTTTGTCCGTCGTCGTCCGTCATGCGTTAACATTTGAACATTTTCAGCTTCCTATCTGAAACCACTGAACCAATTTCAACCAAATTTGGCATATAGCATCTATGGGTGAAGGGTAGGGGTGCAACGATACGGCTACCCCACGATACGATACGTATCACGGTATTCAGTTCAAGGTACGATACGTATCACGATACATGACATATTGGGTTAAAAAGTCAGACGTTTGTTATCATATACTTTAAACTCAAAAGTTTTATAAAATGCTCATTACACTAACACTAGGAAAGTGGTAACATCCTTCGAACCGTTAAATATGAGACTGGAAACAAGTTTATTTGTCATTTCTGCAGTTTCGTTGACCACATGTTTCGTGCGGAAGCCATTTTGAAAATGTAAATGACGAACCAAAACGGACGATTCGGATAATTACGGACCAATTGAACCGAACCGTTATATCAGTTTCACGTATCGTGAACTGAACCGTGGAAAAATAAACCGCGGTATACCGTCATTCGGTTTATCGTTGCACTCTTAGTGAAGGGGAACAAAAATTGTGAATTTCATGGTCCCCGCCCCCCTGGGGCCTGGGGGGTGGGGCAAAAACCACTAAAATTAGTGAAATCTTTAAAAATCTTCTTCTTTACTCCTGGACATCAAGCAGTCAAACTGTTGGTATGATTGTAATCAGCATTGAGTCCTCTGCCAAAATTGTGAAATTCATGGCCCCAGGGTCAGGGGTTCTGGTGTTAGGGCTGGGCTCTATTGATTATGTAGTGAAAATGCATAGATTCTTCGAAAATCTTCTTCTCTGCTACTGGGTATTAAATAAACTATTTAAGTACAAAGTTATAAAGGAAAAGAGTGTCTCTACCAAAATTGTGAATTTTATGACCCTATGGTCAGGGATTATGGTGTTAGGGCGCGGCTGTATTGATTATATAGTGAAAATGTATTAAATTTTTGAAAATCTTCTTCTCTTGTCCTAGGTATTAAGTAAACTAAATAAGTACATAGTTCTGATGAGCAAGAGTATCTCTACAAAAATTGTGAATTTTATGGCCCCTGGGTCATGGATTCTGGTGTTAGGGCGGGGCTCTATTGACTATATATAGTGAAAATGTATTAAATTTTTGAAAATCTTCTTCTCTTGTCCTAGGTATTAAGTAAACTAAATAAGTACATAGTTCTGATGAGCAAGAGTGCCTCTACCAAAATTGTGAATTTTATGGCCCCAGGGTCAGGGGTTCTGGTGTTAAGGCTGGGCTCTATTGAATATTGATTATATAGTAAAAAGACATTTATTCTTTGAAAAGCTTCTTCTCTACTTCTAGGAATTAAATAAACTAATTAAGGGCATAGTTATGATGAACAAGAATGCTTCTACCAAAATTGTGAATTTTATGATCCCATGGTTAGGGGTTATGGTGTTAGGGCATGGCTCTATAATGATTATATAGTGATAATATATTACATCTGTGAAAATCTTTTTCTCTACTCCTGGGTAATAAGCAGATGAACTATTTATATAGTTATGATGTGCAAGGGCTCTTCTTCCAGAATTGTGAATTTCAAGGCCCCTGGTCAGGGATACCAAAGGGGGGGGGGGGATCGGGCTATACATATATACTGAAAATGAATTGTTTGAAATCTGCTCCTTGGTATTAATCGAACATTTTTGATAAGCAAGTGTGCCTTTTCAAAAATTATTCAATGTGTAGACCTATGGTCAGGGGTTCGTGTGTGATAGGGGCACTCCTGATTATTGCTGAATATTACTGATTAGTTGACATGCATTTTTGTTCCCCTAGTGGCCTACCCTGATTATAGGTATTAAGTAAACAAACTAAACAATTGCTAAATGTATAGTTATGATTAGCAATGGTGCCTCTTTCAAAATTGTGAATGCCATAGCTTAAAACATGAACCAAAGTCAATCATTTGAAAGTTGTTGCATGATGCTCAGGTGACCTATAAGGCCCATGGGCCTCTTGTTTAGGAACCAAGAGTTCACACTTTACTCATAGAGTAATCTGTAGTTAGAGGGTATCCATTTAACTTGAATTAATTTTGTATCCAAATTGACATGATCAAAAAACCTCTGTATACAATCCTTGTCCTGAGCTTATTTTCTCTCCCCTTGCCCTTTCCTGGTTCAATCTTCAGCCACAAGGGTGTAAATAGGTAAAGGTGTGCATTGTTTTGGAACCACATTTTTAGGTTAGTGGTCAAGGTTCTAGTAGTTCTCTGAAATTTTTTCATCCCATTGGCCCCAACTGACTTCACCCAAAAAGTGCCATAGGATAAAAGGCCTTTCATCCTAATGTCCTTTGCTAATAGCGGGGCCCTATGAGATGGTCACTGTCTCAATGGCATTGTATTTTGTTTCATACTCATCTTATTTACACTTGATTTAGACCTTTTTATCTCCCTTACAGGCTTAGAAAGGTGGGCGTATATTGCTTAGCTCATTTGGTCAGTCAGAATGTCTGTAGACCAGTTGTTGTTCTATCTATTTCTTTAGAACTCTTTGTTGATAGAATCAAACTTAACATCAAACATGGCATGACCCATTTTATTTTTGAAATCACATGGTGACAGGGCAAAGGGCAAACTACCTTAGTCATGGGAAGATTATGTTCCTTGTTTATATCTTGAGAACCCTTAGCTTGCCAGACATCAAACTTGGTATATTGGTTCCCAATCAAAAGTAAATGTCCACTGTAGAATTTGAGGACACAATCATCACAAGGTCTAATGTCAGGAGTCAAACTGGACATAGGAATATGTCAAGCACTCAATATTTTAAGAACCCTGGTACACTGGTTCCCCTGAAGAATAATTAACCTCTAATGATGTTGAGGTCACAAAGTCAAAGGTCAAGGATTTAAACTACAGAAAGATATTGTCCTGTCCTGTTAACTAATTTACTAGAGAGACATCAAACTTAGTATATTGTTTCGGGCTCCTTTTTTACAAGTTTCTCAAATATTTCTAGTTTCAAACTATATTGTCTATTTACCAGTAATTTGAATTTGAATTACTTTTCAACAGATTAAAAATACAGCCAAGATCAAGAGAATGAAAAAGAAACAGCTGCGACAGATTGAGAAGAGATGAAAAGATTGAATAATAGTGATCGTAAAAAATAGTTGTGATGTAATTCAGAAACATGCTGCTGGTCAAACTCTTTGCATTATTGATTTCACAGACCTGATGCTGAAACCTTAAGTTTAACAAGACTTTCTGATGAGATGCAATACTTTTATATGCCTGAGAAATTGTCTCACATGAGCTGTTTTGATCAAAGTGTGTCTGGCGTTGATTTTTATGCCACCTAACAGATGCATACCAAGTCACCGAAATTTTATTGATTCAAACAAGAGTTTCCATCAGGGAGGCTTGAATTTGAGCTGGAGTTATGTATTTTGTTTGCTGAGCTGTTATTGACTTTGGAAGTCTAGTAAAAAATTCTCATATTTGTTAATGCCATTAATAAATGTTGTGTTTTTTAATCAAGAGATATTATACAAACAGATTTGAGAGACAATTATACAGTACACTTGAATATAATTAATTAAGAGAATGCCCAATGTTTCATGTGAGCATTTTAGCCCAAGGAACTGTGTATATTGCATGTAATATGTGTTACTGGATACATATATGTTCTTTTTTTACCTGATAAAAATAAAATTATTTATTTTCATAGTGATGATTTTGTTAAATTCTAATGTGATGCTCAAATTTACATTGCATACATTGTAAGGTATTCAATGTATAATGAAGTGTTTTGGAACAATTTTGAATCATTTTATAAACTAGTTAAAAATATATTGCTAGATTAAAATGAAAGGGAAATAAACCAAATTTACAAGACTGATTACAAGGAGCTGATCATTTTGCACCTTGAAAAGTTTTAAAAGAATTATATGCCCTTGATAAAAAAAAGAAAATTTTAACTTTGTCAAAATTTCTGTGGTAAATGATTCATTTTATCTTATATTATAACAAGAGGCCCATGGGCCACATCGCTCACCTGAGCACTGTGGCTAGGAAAAAGCAGAATTGGTTTATACTTGAAAAGCTTAAATCCAAAAGTAGTCCCATGACCAATCCTGGCTTTGCTATTCTTGAGAAGATTTTTAAAGAATTTTCCTATACATTTCTATGTACTTTGGTCGGCCATTTTGGCGCCGCCCTACCCCTGGGGGTCATAATTTGAACAAACTTGAATCTACACTACCTGAGGATGCTTCCATATAAATATGATTAATAATGGCCTTGCTATTCTTGAGAAGAAGATTTTTAAAGAATTTTCCTATATATTTCTATGTAAAACTTAGGTCGGCCATTTTGGCCCCGCCCTACCCCCGGGGGTCATGATTTGAACAAACTTGAATCTACACTACCTGAGGATGCTTCAATATAAATATGATCAATTATGGCTTTGTTGTTCTTGAGGAGAAGATTTTTAAAGAAATTTCCTATATATTTTTATGTAAAACTTTGGTCGGCCATTTTGGCCCCTCCCTACCCCTGGGGGTCATGATTTGAACAAACTTGAATCTACACTACCTGAGAATGCTTCCAAATAAATATGATCAATTATGGCCTTGCTATTCTTGAGAAGAAGATTTATAAAGAATTTTCCTATATATTTCTATGTAAAATTTTGGTCGGCCATTTTGGCCCTGCCCTACCCCCGGGGGTCATGATTTGAACAAACTTGAATCTATACTACCTGAGGATGCTTCCATATAAATATGATCAATTATGGCTTTGTTGTTCTTGAGGAGAAGATTTTTAAAGAAATTTCCTATATATTTTTATGTAAAACTTTGGTCGGCCATTTTGGCCCCTCCTTACCCCTAGGGGTCATGATTTGAATAAACTTGAATCTACACTACCTGAGGATGCTTCCAAATAAATATGATCAATTATGGCCTTGCTATTCTTGAGAAGAAGATTTATAAAGAATTTTCCTATATATTTCTATGTAAAACTTAGGTGTGTACCCCCGGGGGTCATGATTTGAACAAACTTGAATCTACACTACCTGAGGATGCTTCAATATAAATATGATCAATTATGGCTTTGTTGTTCTTGAGGAGAAGATTTTTAAAGAAATTTCCTATATATTTTTATGTAAAACTTTGGTCGGCCATTTTGGCCCCTCCCTACCCCTGGGGGTCATGATTTGAACAAACTTGAACCTACACTACCTGAGGATGCTTCCTAATAAATATGATCAATTATGGCTTTGTTGTTCTTGAGAAGAAGATTTTTAAAGAATTTTCCTATATATTTCTATGTAAAACTTAGGTCGGCCATTTTGGCCCCGCCCTACCCCCGGGGGTCATGATTTGAACAAACTTGAATCTACACTACCTGAGGATGCTTCCATATAAATATGATCAATTATGGCTTTGTTGTTCTTGAGGAGAAGATTTTTAAAGAATTTTCCTATATATTTCTATGTAAAACTTAGGTCGGCCATTTTGGCCCCGCCCTACCCCCGGGGGTCATGATTTGAACAAACTTGAATCTACACTACCTGAGGATGCTTCAATATAAATATGATCAATTATGGCTTTGTTGTTCTTGAGGAGAAGATTTTTAAAGAAATTTCCTATATATTTTTATGTAAAACTTTGGTCGGCCATTTTGGCCCCTCCCTAACCCTGGGGGTCATGATTTGAACAAACTTGAACCTACACTACCTGAGGATGCTTCCATATAAATATGATCAATTATGGCTTTGTTGTTCTTGAGAAGAAGATTTTTAAAGAATTTTCCTATATATTTCTATGTAAAACTTAGGTCGGCCATTTTGGCCCCGCCCTACCCCCGGGGGTCATGATTTGAACAAACTTGAATCTACACTACCTGAGGATGCTTCCATATAAATATGATCAATTATGGCTTTGTTGTTCTTGAGGAGAAGATTTTTAAAGAAATTTCCTATATATTTTTATGTAAAACTTTTCGGCCATTTTGGCCCCTCCCTACCCCTGGGGGTCATGATTTGAACAAACTTGAATCTACACTACCTGAGAATGCTTCCAAATAAATATGATCAATTATGGCCTTGCTATTCTTGAGAAGAAGATTTATAAAGAATTTTCCTATATATTTCTATGTAAAAATTTGGTCGGCCATTTTGGCCCTGCCCTACCCCCGGGGGTCATGATTTGAACAAACTTGAATCTATACTACCTGAGGATGCTTCCATATAAATATGATCAATTATGGCTTTGTTGTTCTTGAGGAGAAGATTTTTAAAGAAATTTCCTATATATTTTTATGTAAAACTTTTCGGCCATTTTGGCCCCTCCTTACCCCTGGGGGTCATGATTTGAATAAACTTGAATCTACACTACCTGAGGATGCTTCCAAATAGATATGATCAATTATGGCCTTGCTATTCTTGAGAAGAAGATTTATAAAGAATTTTCCTATATATTTCTATGTAAAACTAAGGTCGGCCATTTTGGCCCCGCCCTACCCCCGGGGGTCATGATTTGAACAAATTTGTATGTACACTACCTGAGGATGCTTCAATATAAATATGATCAATTATGGCTTTGTTGTTCTTGAGGAGAAGATTTTTAAAGAAATGTCCTATATATTTTTATTAGGGATGTCAAATCGGTCGATTTTTAATACTCGGTTACTCGGACGTTTTTCCGGTTACTCGGTAAAAGTGTAAATAAATATGAACAAGTAAATGAAAACTAAAAAAACATTGTAAACTCTTGTAGAAATAAAACCAGATGCAATGATAGGAGACCTATCCGTGAATGTATTTCTGTCATAATAATGATGAGCACTTCGTGCCCGACGAAATTTAATATAACATACTTAATATTCAATTTATTTATCAAATAAACACAAGAATTAAAATTATAAGTTGTTCACAGTGTTTTTGTTTAAAAAAAAAAAATCTGCTACGTAATTGTAATGTAACTCTTAGTCGCGTTTGACGACCAGGTATCAGTCGTCAGAGCTACGTACAGTATCAACTTGAACTTGATCAAGTTCTCCTAACTGAGCGGATTTACGATTTTCGTACATTTTTCGATCCTAGACTTTATAATATTACGGTACGGTATTTTGTAGTTTGGTGCAACGATGGACATCAGTTTTTTTTTAAAGCCTTTGCTAACCAGTTGAATTGGCATGTAATATCGCACGTGTAATATCATCCGCTCTTTTCCCGAGAATTTAAGGCTTCTCGGAGAAATAACAAAATTATCTAATTTATTTAAACATAATGGATCTTAAACGATGTTCAGTGAAAACAAATAATTAAAGCCAAACAAAAAATAAGGGAAGAAGACAGCCGAAGGTGAGAAAAGCCAGGTACCCAAGGTCACGTTAGGTGCTTGGTCATGATAATTACTGTATAAACACTGCCACAGGCGATAACGGTCATTTAGAGTCGTAGGAAACCCTAATTACTGTATGTACAAGTGCAATGAGCATTTTACGTTTTAAGACAGATTGTTTAATGCATTAATAAATAAGTTTAGAACTATTCAAAATTATACATCCGAGTAACCGAGTACCGATTTTAGTATTCGATACTCGGACGTTCGATCGAGTACCCGGTTAACCGGGTACTCGTTGACATCCCTAATTTTTATGTAAAACTTTGGTCGGCCATTTTGGCCCCTCCCTAACCCTGGGGGTCATGATTTGAACAAACTTGAACCTACACTACCTGAGGATGCTTCCATATAAATATGATCAATTATGGCTTTGTTGTTCTTGAGAAGAAGATTTTTAAAGAATTTTCCTATATATTTCTATGTAAAACTTAGGTCGGCCATTTTGGCCCCGCCCTACCCCCGGGGGTCATGATTTGAACAAACTTGAATCTACACTACCTGAGGATGCTTCAATGTAAATATGATCAATTATGGCTTTGTTGTTCTTGAGGAGAAGATTTTTAAAGAAATTTCCTATATATTTTTATGTAAAAGGCCATTTTGGCCCCTCCCTACCCCTGGGGGTCATGATTTGAACAAACTTGAATCTACACTACCTGAGAATGCTTCCAAATAAATATGATCAATTATGGCCTTGCTATTCTTGAGAAGAAGATTTATAAAGAATTTTCCTATATATTTCTATGTAAAACTTTTCGGCCATTTTGGCCCTGCCCTACCCCTGGGGGTCATGATTTGAACAAACTTGAATCTATACTACCTGAGGATGCTTCCATATAAATATGATCAATTATGGCTTTGTTGTTCTTGAGGAGAAGATTTTTAAAGAAATTTCCTATATATTTTTATGTAAAACTTTGGTCGGCCATTTTGGCCCCTCCTTACCCCTGGGGGTCATGATTTGAATAAACTTGAATCTACACTACCTGAGGATGCTTCCAAATAGATATGATCAATTATGGCCTTGCTATTCTTGAGAAGAAGATTTATAAAGAATTTTCCTATATATTTCTATGTAAAACTTAGGTCGGCCATTTTGGCCCCGCCCTACCCCCGGGGGTCATGATTTGAACAAACTTGAATCTACACTTGAGGATGCTTCAATATAAATATGATCAATTATGGCTTTGTTGTTCTTGAGGAGAAGATTTTTAAAGAAATTTCCTATATATTTTTATGTAAAACTTTGGTCGGCCATTTTGGCCCCTCCCTACCCCTGGGGGTCATGATTTGAACAAACTTGAACCTACACTACCTGAGGATGCTTCCAAATAAATATGATCAATTATGGCTTTGTTGTTCTTGAGAAGAAGATTTTTAAAGAATTTTCCTATATATTTCTATGTAAAACTTAGGTCGGCCATTTTGGCCCCGCCCTACCCCCGGGGGTCATGATTTGAACAAACTTGAATCTACACTACCTGAGGATGTTTCCCTATAAGTTTCATCTTTCCTGGCATGCATGGTGTTATGAAATTCACAATTCAGGTAGAGGCTTTTTGATATGCTTACAATTTAGCTGCTTAATGTCCAGGAGTAAAGAAATTTTTTATGCCCTGCCATGAATATGGCCGGGGCATGTAATGTTTGTCATGTCCGTCTTTCCATCCTTCTGTCCTTCCGTCACACTTTGCGTTTAGCTCAGTTTCAAACAAACTAAGATATTTTCATCAAACTTCGCATGCTGATAGATATTGATGTGAGCTATGCAACTGCATCAACATTTTTTGACCTTGATTCTTCCTGTTTCCTTTAACCTTGACCTCACTTTTCTTAAATTAGTGTCTAGCTCAGTTTTAAAGAAACCATTCAAGATGGTGTTATCAAACATCACATGTTGATACATACTGATGAGAGTTATGCAACTGCATCAACTTTTTTGACTTTAACTTTTTTTTTTACCACACTTTTCTTTAATTAGTGTTTAGCTCAGTTTTAAAGAAGCCAATCAAGGTAATTTTTCAAATTTCATGTACTGATATAGATACCACTCAAGATGGTGTTATCAAATTTCACATGTTGATACATACCGAGAACTATTCAACTGCATCAACATTTTTTACCTTGGCCTTTTCTTTGACCTCACTTTTCCTAAATTAGTGTCAAACTTAATATGCTGATACATACTGATGTAAGCAATTCAACTACATCAACATTTTTGACCTTGACCTTTCATTTGACCTTGACCTCACTTCTATCAAATTATGTTTATGTCAGTTTTAAAGAACCATTCATAATATTTTCAACTTTATATACCGATACAACTGATGAGAGCTTTTCATCATCAACAATTTCTTACCTTGACCTCACTTTCCCTAAATTAGTGTCAAACTTCATATGGTGATACATACTGATGTAAGCAATTCAATTGCATTAACATTTTTGACCTTGACCTTTCATTTGACCTTTGACCTCACTTTTCAGAAATTAGTGTCAAACTTCATATGCTGATATATACTGATGTAAGCAATTCAACTTTTCAAGATATTCTGATCAAATTTCATACAATTTTTCATGTTGCATTACTAATATATCCTCGGCAGGGCATTCATGTCCGATGGACATATTTCTGCATTTTAAGATATAACTATTACAAACTATTCAATCATTATAAAATAAATGTACACTGTCTGCGTAGAGTACTAGTATATATGAACAACAATAATAATGCAATTGAAATGAGAAAGAAAAGAGATCACAACATATTTTCATTTTTCACATTTTATTTTTGGTTTCAGTTTGTAAAAACTGAACATGTTTGTGATTATATATTGACATATAATTGTGTATATGCAAACACCAATAAAAGTAATATCAGTTCTCTATATTTACACAGAAATTTGAATGATCCACCATTTTGTATTTCTCAGAGTAAGCACAACTTTGTTCCATGACACCTAACAATATATTAAAATAACTTCTTTGTTTTGATATCTTATATATTAATTTGCATCAAAGTTGAAACTATAAATAACCCTGATTCTATTGGGGAAAAAAGTCTACCATGAATGGTATTGATGTATAAATAAGTCTATATGTGTGTGTTTCTTTATTTGCTGAGAGCAAACCTTAAATCAACATAGGATTCAAATTCCTTCCTTAAAGAAGCTTGACCAGCAAGCTTGACATAGCTTGTTTTATACAGTGACCTTTGCACTTAATGAAAATTTTGACACTTCCAGAATAGATTGACATACAACATCTTTTAGATGGATAAGTCATCTGTTGCTTTGTGAAATATTTGGGCCAATTTAAAGTTCATTTATGTAAAACTTTAAAAAATGCTTATAGCAAACATGTCTGCAATGAAGTGACACTTACAGTAATTTTTCATTCCTTGTGGCTTCAAAGTAAATTGTTAAGTTAATGGATATGACAAATAAGGTTTATAACATAAGGAAAATTATCTGTCCTTGGAACTTTCTTAAAAGCACATTTTATTGTACATTTGTAATACTGGTACATTTGTACTCCAAATTTGAATGAAAAAAGTTCTATATCTAATATTATTTTTAAAAATCATGACCTGTACATTACACATATATATATATCTGTACATAAAATGTTGAAAACATCTGGCAACTATGTTGCAAGGAGAAAAATAAGTATTGCATTGGATGCTATTGGTATAAAAATGTGGTTTGTATGAAATATTGCATTAAGCTTTGCTATAAGATTGTTTTGTATACATATATTAAAAACACAGAAAAAGACTTTCCCTCACTGACAAATTATGTGTGTAATACCACACTGTGCAATTTATTAAACAAGCTCTAATTTTTAAAAACTTTTCTTATTCCCTGGACTAAATTGCAAAATTTACAATGATAGAGACAGTACATGAATTGTACAAAGAACTTTTGTTACTTGTAACATTTTAAAATTATTACATTTCATGAAATCAATTTCAACTTACAGAAACCCACATGCACTTAACATAAATATGAATATTAAACTAAGTACAAAATTTCACATAAGAACGGTATAAATTTGTAACTTCAAGACTGTCGGTCCACAAACAAGTCCACTTTACAATTTGAGTAATATAAGAGATCTTTAGGAAAAACTAGTGTTTGTCATGTACAGCTGCCATACACTGGGATAAAATGAGAGGAGACCACAGGACCACAAAGCTCACCTGATCTAGTCTGCTCTAACTTCACACACTACCTATTAATTTTCTTATTGAATAAGCCAATTGTCTATTTGCCAAAATATAATGGATTGATTATGAGGAGAGAAAAGTTTCCTATACTTTTTTTAATTTTCCAAGTAAAAACTGATTCATAATTTTATCCTCATTCTTGTTTAAGTATTTCAATCAGATACATTTAAGCCAATTTCAGTCCAGATATTCCATAAAAAAGTAAATGTTTTTCCCAAATTGACACTATCTCATCTTAAAAAGATGTGTCTTATAATTTATAGCAACCCCCTCCCCCATAAAAAAGGGAAAGGAATGTCAACGTGAATAACATGATAAAAATAATTATTGGCAGACAAACTTTGATTTGAAAAAAAAATAAGTTGATTGACCTCTGTTTACGATAAGAAAATAAAATCAGATCTATCAATCACACATCTGCTACCTTCCATGCCCGTCTAAGTTAGAACTGGAATAAGAGTCCCTCTTGTCAAGATCTGGATTGCTCGGTAGTTTAAGTTTAGACATAGCGGGGGAATTTGAATGACTTCTATTGGTGGGGGTTGAGGAGGAGGGGATAAGGGGAGGGGGAGGTCCTTGCAGTAAAGCAGGGGACCCTACTTTCAGCCCACTGTGATTCACAAGAGGACTCATAGTTCTTGGAAAATGACCACTCGCTCTCAGTGGATCAAAATGTCTAGAATGGCCTAGCCTGCTGGATTCTAAAGCTAACTTTTCTCTTTCAAATCGTTCCCTTTCAAACTGTGGTAAGCGATCGAAGTACTCTCGCCTCAGTCTCTCCTCTTGGAGTAAAATCTCGTCTTTGCGGACTCGGTCCGGGTCGTACAGACCCACGGCGGGCGGCTGCAGTCTCCGCAGCATCCGTTCCCGTTCCTGCTCCATTTCTCTCTGGATCTGGAGACTGTGATAACTGAAGTCCATTAAACTCTTCTCCTGGGATCCCCATAAACTCTGGGGAGGGGGAATCCTATCTGCACCAAAAGGGAATTGAGAAGGCCCACCTAGGAGCCTTGATCGGTCCATTAAGTTAGATGCACCATGTAAATAATCGGGCCTGAACTTCTCTCTGTCCATCACAGAGACCTCAGGTTCATCCACTTTTTCTTCTTTCACTTTAATGATGTCTTTATCATCACGATTGTAACTAGAATCAGATTTGGCAGAGCCCACTCTGCCTCCCACAAGTGGTGACCTTGACCTTGACCTGGAATGGGAGGAGACTGTGTGAGGATGTCGCACGTCTCCTCCAATAAATGGTCTGTCCTTAGACTGTTCTAAATCAACACTTCCACGTCGTTCTCTATCACTTGACCTCCTTTCTCTGAAATACAAATATTTTATTCTGAAAGCAACTGATTTGTTAATATTTTATTTACAAATTCTTTAATTTAGTTAAAAAGAAAAGCATCTGTGATTTCTTTTTTTTCATACTTTACAGGAATACACAATTCTTTGTAAGCGTTAGCATTACAGGAATACACAATTCTTTGTAAGCGTTAGCATAAAAATAATTCAGAAATGTATTTTTTTTTAATACCTTTCCCTCTCTTCCCTTCGTCTGTCCAGTCCTAGCACCACTTCTCTTTCTTTCTCTCTTTCCTTTTCCTTCTCTATCTCCCTTTCCCTCTCATCTGGTTTTGACCAATGTGATCCAGAAAACAAAGGGGAGGATCTATGCAGGCGACTCCACTCCTGTGGTGAAGCTATACCTGGAATCTTTGGTATTTCCCTACCTGGGGTACCAAATGGACTTCCACCTATAACATTGAAACCAAAGTTATAGATTCATATACATGTCTACATGTTTATATTTATGTCAAAAAACATAATGTTAACATTAATGTTAAATAAAGAGCAATAACCATGAGATAATTATTCCCAGTTGGACTGTAGTTACCTTACATACATAAACTGATGTACAATTATTGTTAATCAAAAACTGACAAGAAGTTGTAATACAGAAATACATTGAAGAGAGAGAAATAAAGGACAACTCTTCATTACCTCTCCCTAATCCACCAAAACCTTCATGGCTGGAGAATGGATAAGGTGAGGGCCTAGGGAATGAACTCATACCTACAAGTATGTCAAAACAATTAAACAACAAAATCAATTTTTATTTTTAAACTTCATATGATGGTGAGATTCATCATGTTTTATTAAGTACCGGTATGTACATGTAAATATATACATATTTATATATAACAGCTACTGACACATTTAGATATGCTTTCCATTAACAAAAATAATGAAGAATCCAACATATATTATTTCAAACAGAAATCAAGATATACAATTCTTTTTTAATGGATCTGTACCTGAAAGGTACGTAAATCAACATAAACATTTCTACTGTAACAGACCTTTACCTAGGAGTGAGGACGGTGTGGACAGATCGGTGGGTCGGTGGAGACTACTACTGGACAGGTTACGCCCCGACTGGAGGGGGTCCAGACTCTTACCCTCCCCTCCTTTGGAGACTTCAGAACTCTCCTGCTGGTGCCGGTGAATCTTCCAGGCTATCTGAACATGCATGGTGCACCACTTACCACTTTTCTGAAAAGACAGTAAATTACATGTACACACAACTTCTACAATCAACTACATGTATTGTAGTTTACCCTAAACTTTCTTTCATACTGGTAGTTTCAATCAGTGGATAATACCATGAATTCTTTCCATGATTTGAAGGTACTTTATTAGTAACAAGATGCGGGTTTCCTGTCCTGTGTTCAAAGACTGGTAATGGGTTACATGGCATCAATCTACTGCTTTGATTATATTCAAAATTTTCATACCTAAACAACATTATTTTAAACTTCAAGCTGAATTCACAATCTTCAAATGCTTTTCACTGTTTTCAGATTCACTTTAATATTTTCAAAAAGTTGCCCTGCTTAAAGTAAAACTTTGCTGAAAATAAGTTTTTCTGCCCATCAGAACTTTCTTCTAACTGTACCAGGCATTTTTAAATGAATGACATAAGAATTAAAGACCATGTGAGAAATGACGAGGGAGAGTTATTTTAAGAATCTTCACATACTTTTTGACAAAACAATTTTGTTAAAAGTGCTCTATAGTGACAAGATATGATGATTTTAAAATTAAGTAACATATAAATTCCATCTAATCAAATGGAATAATGTGTAATTTCCCAAATACACTGTACATCCCTAATGCATTACTTTTTCAAAATAAAATTCATTTCTATAACAAAATAAGATTCAGCAAGCAAGTACTGTTTGGTCCAATTAAATATTATATTAATGAAGAAAATACTACATTTAAATACTGACATTTCAACACACAGAGGTCTATAAAGAGGTTACAATTCACAACATTTAAGAAAACTGAGTTATCTAGATAATGGAAGCTTCTGTCAAGATAGCATGTCATGTACAGGACAGAAATGCATGTCATTCACAAATCTAAGAAATGTGAATTTTTTTTTTTTTTTTTTTACTAAATCGTGAGAGAGCATTTCTATTTTTCTTTTCAGGAAAAAAATATTTTAAGATTGTTTGACTGCTTTTGTATTGGATACAGCTATATTATATTTTACAGAAAATACAGCACTTGAGGAGAACCCCTCCCCCTTTCCCTAAAACTGAAATCACTTAGAAACAAGTACTACTGCATGCAACTACAATATACGACAGAGATTATTTAAACAGAACAATTAGACAGAACACTAAGCAGGGTGAGGATAGAGCCTGTGGCTACACTAACTTTGTGGTGGGGCAGAGAAGCGGCCGGAGGAGGGACTTTCTCTTGCTCTCTCAGGGCTGGGATCAGCTGACCGGGATGTAACAGGCCACCAGCTACTTTCTACAATGGGAGCACATAACACAAGGAATACATTATTGAATGCTCTCACAGAGTTATGTCACTTCTGTGTAGCAACTGAGTAATGAGTTATTTTTTTTTTCTCCTCACCCATCAAATAAAGTGTGTGAATTATTATCCAAAATTGATTTATAGCCATTGATGACATAAACTAAATTTTAAACAACACCTTTAAATCAAGAAATGATTACCAGTTACATGTATATCTAATGCAAGACAACAAAGCATCATCTAGATTTTAATTAGTACAAACATGTCTATGGGTAGTTCTATGGCTCTTGAATATCTAACTCTTTATGGAAAACAAGTAAATATGCATACCTTTGGTTGAAAAGCTCCCGATGAACTGGAATTAAGGGAACTTCCTGAATGAACAAGAGGTGGCACCATGGGATAGCCCAGCAAGCCTGGAGTCTGAAGTAATCAAACAAAAATACTGACATTATAATTCAAAAAGTCCCTAACTTGGTGGAACAAATCTGACTCTAAATCTAAACAGCAATTTTTTTAACACATCTTCAAAGTCTATTTGAATAAAATAAATCTAAATATAAAAATAACCAAAGAAATGTAGAAAACACTACCAATTCTATATTAAAAACAACTTACAGCTCTATAAAATGATGACTCAAATGGTTTTGGGACCTTGTCATACTGAAAAGAAATAGATAGTTTTAAAATACATTATTTTAACCTACATTTAAATGAAAATATTTGTAATTCAAAGTTAAACAGTAAAACATGCCTAATCTAGAAGTTAATTGAAATCTTGCATATACTGATGTAAACTTTGTCTCTTTTAATAAATTGTTTTCTGCAGCTTATTTTTAAGGAATCAGTGCCCAGTGGTGTCCAAATAGGAAAAGTTTTACTGTATAAATAAATAACTCCGAATTTTTAAAGTTACCTTGCACTGTATATTTGTTATCTTTGTATTATTTATCTTGTCACATGATTTTGATGGCCTGTCATCACTCACATGACTTTGATGGCTTGTCATCTTAATCTAACCACTTACATTCTACACTGATTACAGCAACTTACCAGATGTGGGGCTGGGGAGGGGACTAATGACCCAGTAAGACCTGGCAGGGCAAACATGTGTTGATGTGTGTGTTGATGCTGGTGTTGATGTTGATGCATGTGCTGATGTTGGTGTATGTCCGCTCGACCGTACGGGGTGGAGCCAATGACAGGGAGACTTGTACGCTCCTGGGCCGCCAAAAATCGTCGATTCAGTTCCTCTCGCAAAATTTCTTGACCTAAAACAAATAGAATTATTTTAATCAAATTTCATTTAAAACTATCATCTTTCTTACTTTACATATAGCTTTTCATAGTATTGGCTTTGATTTCAAGTGATTGTTCAGTTTTTATTTTGACTTGTTTTTAGCCATGCATGAAGCAAAATAAATATATCAATAATGTTGAATACTAGCTCTTATATAAAAAAGCTTACTGTCCTGTATAAAAATATAAAACCCTTTATTTTGAGATACAAGTGTAAGAAATAAACAAGTTTCGCCACTCTTCATTGCCTGAGCTTAAATCACTTACTGGCCAGGGACATGGACTCTGGAGAAGCGTGTGCTGACAGACCGGCCCCTCCTAGTGTGTGTGGTGACGTCAAAGAACCATTGGCAGCCCCCGGAGGCAGGGGAGCTGCAAACATACTTTGAGGCCCTGGGGGTGGGAGGAGATTGTGGAGGGGGCTGGGGGGCAGGCTGGAGAAGGAGGAACTGTGACCAGGGGCACTGGAATGCAGACCAAACTGAGGTATCCCCGGGGAGTGAGTCACAGGGGGATAGGGGTTGTGGAGGTGAGGGGTACTGCCACTGAAACAAAAAAAAAGCATGTATATTTGCAACAATATGAGTATAAGGCTTTATTTAAATACATCTATTTGTTTGTCCTCTCTTGACTTAGGATACAAATATTGGGTTGGTAAGTAGGTATTACAAAAAAATCCCCCCCCCCCCAAAAAAAAGAAATTCAAAACATCTATGCTGAATTTTCAAATTTATTGAAATTGAAGGTGTCAATAAAATTAACAAGTTGTTGATGGGATGTTAAAATTCTGGAACAAATAAGAAAAGTATCCTTACCTGAGGTTTAAAAAAAAAGGATTTGAATCAAGAGAGAGCACACAAAAAATATAAAGAGGGACCTACAATTAGTACAGACACTTTTTGAAATCTGCTTTAATCATATAAATTCTCAAGCCATTTGAAGCAAGAAACTCCTTTAAATAAATAATGTTTCTGTAATAAAAATATACAAATTGTAAAAATATGTTTGAACACTTTACTTGCATTGTGCATAACCATAAATCAATTTTTCAGGCCCCCCAGTGAATAATAACAATAGTTTTATATTTACTCTACATTCCAGATGTTATTAATAAAGACGGATGAAAGTTCTGCATGTTTAAAATCAATAATGCATGCTTTATGGATTGGATTAAATATACATTTGAAGCCAAATTACATTTTTTCCTGGATTTTTGTTCTCTTTATCACATATTCTGACATTAAACTAATTTATAACGTTTCTGTGTGAATGAGAGACTTATCATTTGTCAGCAGAGAGAAGTTGGGCCTCTAGTAATTATCAGATCTCATTACTACTTTTACTGACAGTCTGTAAATCACTCTCTTCTTTTTTTTTTGCCAAAGAAATCTGTATCCGAGCATATCAGTATGCACTTGTACTCCATGCCAACAAATACAGATCAGCACAGGTTGGCTTTGGCAGTAAAAGCATCGAGTAACAGCACGGGGAGATGAACAGGTTACATAACAGGTGAGTTTTAAATATCTGAGTAAAACCCATTTCTCTGATCCCTACAGCCCATAATGAAGATTAACGACATCCATTTAATATCTTTTCGTTCCGATTCAGAATTAATCTTATTTCTTGCAAAACAAGGTTTATAGGTGAATGTTTAAGACAGCATCAATTTCATAATCTGCATTTTATTTTTGACAAACTGAAAGTTTTTTCGACAAATCAATTTGCATAATGAAAAGTGATACCAGAGAGGCTTAGTCTCATATTCGACACATGTAAAAACAGTCACGACTATAACACGATAAGGTATTATCTCTGTGCATTTCAGCTGTTGACAAGCTTAAGATGACATTAAAAAGCAGATTTGTAAGGAAGGATTAGAGCCATCCAAGCCAGTTTATCTCACAATAAAGAATAAATCAAGTTTCAGCAGAACAGGTAAATCAAACTTATCGCAGACTTTAACCCCGTGTTGGTGATTTGTTTGCTTTGCCGATCAGTTGCCTATGAAAAAGTGTTAAAACATTTTTTTAGCACTTGGCACAAAATTCAAAAGTATTCAATTCCTGACAATATCTGACAAATTATTTGACAAGTGATTTGTTTTAGATCCATACAAGCAAGAGAATTTCCCTTTATGAACCCCTTCCTTCGACATTTGATCATCATCTTTAAGTAGACTTCAAATCAAATTGCTTACTTTGATGACAAATGTCATTTCACTATTTCAAGTGATGTTCATTTTCAAGTAATCCCTGTGGATTAATAATCCATCTTTAAACCTGAGTAATGTTATCAAATACTCTAGGCAGCCTGATTCTCTTTTGACATTTGTTCGTTTTTTTCTTTTCTAAGAAAAAGCTCTTGAATACAATGAAAAATTAAATTCATTGTGCCTGTGAATCGATGATAAGGAAATGAAAATGATTTTCAAATTTTTTAACTTATCTAAGACTAGAAATTGTTGTAAATTAGGAAATTATTGATTCTCAGATTTATTGGTATTTTTAAGATACTATTATCAAAAAAATTATTAAATAATATATCTTCTTTTAGATTTAACATTTAAAAATTTTCAGTTTACATTCTATTCTTCATACACAGCAGCTGATAAACAGATGTATTAGAAACATGTTACCCCATGTGGCATTCTTTAAAGAATCATACTCCAATAAAAGATAGTAGAAAACTCAGTGATAGATTATACCTATGCCAAGGCTTGGAAAATCCAAAACTTGGTGGCAAAGGAAAGTCTTTGTCACTCCTGGGGTCCTCCCTACGAGGGGTTCGTATGGGGGAGGGAGAAAACTTGTGCTGGTCCTTGTGCAGAAGTGTGTCACTGGAGGCCCTTGGAAATGGTTTCTTCAGATGAGGGGATCTCGAGTCGACTGGTTTTGATGAGATGGGTGACCTTGGTTTTTCTCTGGATGTGATCAAAGGTCCATTAGCTATCACAGATGAGTTGGTTGTGGTGGTTCCCACAGTACAACTGGTGGTGGTGGTCGTAGAGGCGGTAGGGTTGGTTTCTGTAGCGGTGGTATACGCGCTGGCTGCTGTCGTCGTGGTAACAGTTGCCGTGGTTATACCACTATCTGTCTGTGATGATGCAGTGGATGTGATTGGTGTAGAGCAGGGACTGCTGCAGGAAGTGGTGGAAGGGGCGGGACATTCTCCTGTCAATCATACAAAATAAAGGTTCATTCACCTATCATGTTCGGCAACAGATAATATGACAAGCAACACATTTTTTCGTTTGACAAGAATCTAAATGTATTGTGAAAATAAAATAAAATTTTATACTTACGATTATGGTTCAATGTTGAAAATAAATCTGAACTTGCATTAGATGCCTGAAATGAAAAACACAGTACATGTATATAAATAAAAATTCTCAGAGCCAGATGAACTTTGTAAATGGAATCAAACTATAGTCTCAGTAAAACTTCCTTCCATGAATGGCAGCAACATCACAAATAGACCAAAAATAATAATGGAAAAGACACAAATGACGCTCACCATCTTTTTGCAAGAAGTAACTACAGACTAATAATCTTGTAGCTACATGGTGCATTGCAATCAATGAAAAAAAATCACCCCGTGATTGTTTATCAATGACAGACAAATAATATACACAAAGAGGGAGTAACTGACAAGATGTTTCATAAATCCTAAGCCTGCTGAATGGACTCAAGTGCTGCCCAACAGCAAAGCACAAGTATTCTGTCAGTTCGCACAGAATCTATCACCTCTACAGCATGTATAAAACAAAGTCCAGGCCGATATGGCACATTCTCAGCTTCACCAGATCTGTAAACTACTAAGTCTTGGTTTATAATACACTTACTTCAATGTGGTTTTCTCTTTTCAATGAGACCTTTTTAGAAAGTCATATTGGTAATCCATTAATGCTGTTCTCTTAGTAAAAGCTTGAAGAAATCATTAAGTTATTTAATTTATCCTAGACTCTTAAAGCTATTAACAAGGTTTAATTTTGTCTCTAGTTGGGCATTATATCCTTTTCTCAACCAAAAATTCAAATACAGGCTTAGATTCAGATCAGTGAAATTACTAGCCCTAAGTTTGCTAATCACCACCAATCTAATCCCACACCAACTTAATTACTGGCACCAAGATCAAAATTTAATCACAATACAGGATGTATTATTTCTATAAAAAAATCTTTTTCCCCCCTATAACTCATTTCAATTACATAAATCTTTGTAATAATGTATATAATAATCTTCTAATGATAATGCTTGAAAGCTTCTCAGCTCTCTTTAATAGATCTTTAACAAACCAGTAACATCAAGTGCATCAGTTTCATCTTACAGTTTTCACCAAAGATATATTAACGAGACCCTTTAAAACATTGAAGTGATACACTTCGTACCAGGCAAATCATACACAGGAGTAACACGGATCATCAAGTCATCCACTTGCTATGAAGAGACATTATATTAATATGGATACGCAATGATTGTATATAATATAAACTGACAATTGAGTTTTCTCTCTTATCCAGACATCTTAGTCTAAATATCCGAAGGCCATCCACGAAATCTCCCCTGATGACTACGATACAAGACTTCGACAACAGACGAAAATAACTCATCTAAAAATAAAACCAGTTCAACCATCCTCAGAAAATTTCTGTCAATGACCAAATAAAAGTATTGTTCATATTGTATAAGTGGATAATGGAGGATGGTATTTACTGCTTAAAACCTATCAAATACTTGAAGATTAAAGAGTTACACAAAAGAGTGAGCGAGGAGAGGTGGTCCCCGAACAAACATGGTCCCATCAGCCCCTGCACAGCCCTCTAATTGTACGGTGTTTGAGAAGGTTGTTTAGTCTAATACTCAGTCCATACCTTTGGAGAGAATTGCAAAGATGTTGTAAAGCCTATTCGTCTAATGAGAGCAAAATAAACACAATATTACAAGAGCTTTATCACTAATTCCTGCTCAGATTTGTCACTGGTTAATGAGGGTTAAACAAAATAGCAGCAAGCCTACTCACCAAGAGGTAATTTACTTATTCCCATTAAAAAAAAACCACTCCATGATACACGTACTCTCCTGTGAAGCTGTCAGAGTCTATCAACGCTGTACTATGCTCGCTAGAGCTACTAACACTGCTGCCAACCCAACAGTACACCGCTGACAGTATCTGCTATGATAATATTTGGTATTACAAGCTAATCTGGTGGAGCTATTATTAATACACTACAAACATCCAGCAATTGCTTCCATGCATGTAATTGTACATGGTATGAATAAATGCACAAATTTACATAAATCCTTGGTGATAGATCATCAGCCCTGGCTCGGCAGATCAATATCTGTACAAACTCAGGGATGCAGAAGAGCACCGCTCAAATGAATTTCATCCATACCTAACACAGTATTTCTCAAATCAGTCGAATATTTTTCTCTCTTTGCTACCCTTTTTGGAACAAAAGATAAAAGCCCAACATTGATTTCTTCAGTAATTGTTGGCTGGTGTTGCTTTTTTCCCCTATTATTGATGAATAATTCCAATGGGTTTTTTTAACAGTTCAAATGAATGCATTTTTCATACTCCCCTGCATTCAGCTAAACCCTAGATCAACATCAAAACATAAAATAGCGAGGCTCTGCTATAGTAATCATGGGGGCCTTAAAGATTGCATAAAAAGCTCCGATAAGTCAAATAAAGGTGTCTGGGGAATTTGAAATGAAAGAATCCCTTGACTTTGTAGGTATCTAAAACGTAAGAATAAAACATGAAATAACATCTGATAATGAGCGATGCCACATTTCACCGTGTGGGACCCGCGATACACTTACATTATTTGAGCAAATCCTTAAATGAAATTGCCTGCTGGGACTAAGAGATATCCGCTGGCTTAAATTTTCTTTAGTATCTCGAAAAACATAACCTGATTGGAAAAGAAGAAATCGATTCTCAATTTTATGATAGCTAAACAGAAATTAGTGGTAATCATGCCTGCTATATTGGACATTCTATAGGCTCCCCAATTAGTTTTTTTGCCTCGTTTACGGAAAACATACAGTACTCACCATTCAAGTGTATTGGTGAGCAGACGGCACTTAATGCGTAATCCATGTATCCCTTGTTCAACACATTTTTCAATATAACAGCTCATGCACAATCAATACAAATTATTTTTCCTGCACACTTTGTGAAGGATGTCCCTTTATGTAACTATATCAACAGCTGTGTCGCCATGTAAATTATTCACAATGAAATGTATATACTTCTACCATCAATTTTTCCGCAACAAAAAAAAGCTACATGTACATAAGAGCAGCTGTCCTACATCAGAAGCTATCAATGCTAATATAACAAGCTTACACTGTGTTAATATTTCCAAATACATTTAACTTCAAACGAAAAACAGCTCTAATCCAATATTTAAGAGGGCTTAAATATTTTAAAGAGAGAGGTCTATACAATGCTGTGTTGAATAACATTTCAGGTTCGCTACAAAAAATGTCACAAATACGAAAAGTCTGTAGCAGAGAGATCTTAATTAAATCCTTTTTAGCACGTAAAGCCGGGTGAAAACAGCGCCATGGATCATTAATTCTAGGGAAAATTTCGTATTTGATCTGTCTTTGAAAAGAACTATGATCCATATGGATAAACTATTCTTCAGTTCTAACACAGACTTCAAACACCATTTCTACCCTGTCAAATTTTTAAAGTCCATAAACATATTTTCTAGATTTATCATTCATAGCTTTTTTTTTTTATCTGGCCCAACACACAGACTTAACCCGATAAACAGATGAGTGTTGATTTGAGTGTCAATGGTTCAATATCAGTAAATACAATATACTCCTTAAATAACTACCGACAGGAAAAACATTTAAAGCAGGCTAATGAAAGGTAAGCTGTGCCTTTTGAGGGCTAGTTTGAAAATCTGCCCATATTTACTTACAACTAAAATGACAGGCAGACCTTTTGCCAATTTCCCATTAAAACTTGCTAAAAGGTTCCAAACAAACATACACTGGGTCAAAGACCATGTTAAACATATCTGTGACAAAACTATAAAAAATAGCCACGACAGACATAATGAGCTAGTGTTATGACACAAGTGCCAAGAATGACATACTATATTTTAATGTATTATTCTTCATATAACATCTATTTTCATCCAACATTATAAAAAACTTTTTAAAAAGGTCTCTTTAATACAGGTATATTGTATTTCTGAGAGCACAAAACATAAACTCTCCAGAGATAAATCAAAGTGAAGGACGGTATTTGCTGGTGGGAGTGTTATGAAATTTTAACAAACATTAATAAAGGTCAACTAACTGCATTATAAAAAAAATTTCCTCATTAATTCATTCACTCTTCATATTCGTATAAATTACATTCATATCTCTCACTAATACAAACCCTATGACTTGTCAATTTCAAGATATTGTTTAAAGTATTAAAAAGCTTAATTTAATTAATACATCCTAAGGCTTTTCCTTAATTGGCTTTTTGGTTTAAAAACATTAGTTTAGCCATCTTAAAATTCAAAATCGATATTTTTTTCTCCCCAAAAGCAGAATGAGAGAGTTGGACTTTTATCTTGATGGACCAAGAGGGAGGTGAGAGAGTTAAGAGATCATTTAACGTAACCCATCAAAAGTAGCAGCAATTCCACTGCCTCCAATACCGTGCTGACAAATAAACGCCACTGGGGAAATAAGACACTGCGAGGCAAATCAAATTTGCTTTTATTCTGCTTTCACACCATCTATGGAACATTCAGACTAATGCAATGCTTTATGTTTTCAGACAGAATGAAAAATGAATTTCAATTACCGTAACACAATTATTTTGACAATTACAAGTGATCCCTGGGGAGGCAGTTTCCAGGAGAAAATTCATTTGTTGGTGCATACTGATGGTTGGAGGGTTGTTCTAGCTACGGCTACAAAAGAGGCCATTAAGTGAGCCGGGACTCTCCCGAGGATATTAAAAAAGAAAACAAGAGACCCAAATTGACCATGAATCAGTCATCTGATAAAAACTAATTCCTCTAATACCCACACTGAACACAGAGAAAATGTATTACAGTCTGATGGTGTCTGTGGGATAAATAATTCACCTTAATGGCAGATTTACATCTTTCCTTTACCATTTCAGTTGAATACCCAAAAGGATACTGAAACAGTGGTTGGTTGAAGGAAAACTAGAAATCTACATCTACAGGTTTACATCAAGGGAATCAACTGTACCACACATTTTATCCTTTTCAGGGCAAAAACATTCCCTCTTTCCTCACTCTGCCAATTTGATAACAGACAGGATCATATTCCTTTTAACAATAAATTTACCAATTTAATTTGTCTACACTAGGAAATAAAATACTGATATAGCCTCCTTGGGGTACCTGCCAGTTAGAATGACAAAAAAAAAAATTACATGAAAGATGAACCATCTTTTGAATTTAACAAATTACATGACTCATAAAACAACACAACAATAGAAATCCCTACAGCCTAGAATGTGATAGATACCCTCCTCATAATGATTCCACAGTTACATCATCATTAGAGCTGTATGAAAATATCAGATTTTAAAGCACTTGGTTTCTGATAGAAGCATCATTAATTAGGTTTTATTGCAGAGAAAAGCATTTTGTCAATCAAGGATGAAAAACGGCATAAAAACTTTCAAACACTGTCAAGTACAACTGAATTTCAGTATCTTGAACACCAATATGTCAAATATCATCCGTATATCAAATTGATCTTTTTAGTCTGAACACATTTTTTCGCTATATTTCTATACCTCAATATCTCAAATCTTGGGATATCTCATAGCTTTTCTTGGTGCAAGCGATTTCAAAATATTGATGATTGACTGTAAATTATTATACTAAGCATGAATCAAAAATTTCTGTAGATCATTCAGATTATTTAATTGAGTTTCTCTTGCTTTCGTTTATTTTAACACGCTGTACTCAGCATATACATATACATGTAATGGATCTTATTCTTTATTGGATAGCCTATTTTTGTCCCCCGCTTTCGTGATAGTGAAGGGGCATTAAATTTCATTCGTCTGTCTGTATGTCACAAAAACTTTAACCTTGGTCATATCTTTTAAATGAGAAGAGATACACCTTTCATATTATACAAGTTTATTATGTATGACAAGACCTTTCTAAATACACTATGATTTTTGACCCCATGACCTTGAAGTTTGACCTACTTTTAAAAAATTTAAACATTACTTTGAATTGGAAATAACTTTTGAATGAGAAGAGATACGCCTTTCATATTATACAAGTTTATTATATAACATTTTTGAAGAAGTTTTCCAATTATATCACAAATATAATACTTTTATCCATATGCCCTGAAAAACTGCCGAATCACGCCGGATACAGTTATGTTCCACCGGAAACAGTTATGTTGCCCTCCCAAACACAGTTATGTTCCCTCATGTGCAATAATTCTGCATATTAAATATGTCGGGTTCGAAATTCTTAGAGGCAGTTGCTAAGCAAACGTAAACAATTCCGCGAAAATTAAAAAGTCGCACCAACGTCTGCGATTTGTTCATTTGAATTCAGAGGAATTAGATAATTTAATTGAGGAGAAAAATTCCTGAAATTTGTAACAAAGGTTATCAACAAAAGTGTCAGCATACTGAAAACATTCTGCCATGAAACAGGACGGGAAATTTCGGAATTATACTCAACGTACATGTGTACATAGTGTTCAATAAATATGTTCGATGTCGGATGACCGTTTTGGGTTCAATGTTTAAAAATGTTATATAACATATATTACATGGCTTTATTCTCGGGCAGCAATACCAGAATATTTGCCCCTCGGTGACAGGAAAGCCCTGGAGTGTTATGTCGCCCTCTGCTTTCGGCATCGTGCGACATTACACTCCAGGGCTTTCCTATCACCTTGGGGCAAATATTCTGGTATGCTGCCCTCGAAGCCATGTAATATATGTATAATGTATGACAAGACCTTTCTAAATACACTATGATTTTTGACCCTGTGACCTTGAAGTTTGACCTACTTTTAAAAAATGTAAACATTACTTTAAATTGGACATAACTTTTGAATGAGAAGAGACAGGGATTTCATATTAAACTTTTGTATTACCTGTGAAGACCTTTCTAAAAACACTATAATTTTTCATCTGAGACCTTGACCTTGAAGTTTGACCTACTTTCAAAAATCTTAATTTTTCCTTATAACTTTTGATTGAGAAGAGATATGGCTTTCATATTTGACTTGCATTACTCGTGACAAGATATTTCCGAGCATGCTATGACTTCTGACCCCTTGACCTTGACAATTGACCTTATTTTAAAAAAATCAACTTCAGTGATAATTTCTGAATGATATTTCATAGGACCTTCATATTTGACACAAAATGCCATAAAAAAATGACATCTCATACACAAGACACTGAAAGCAGGGGACCACAATTCTTTGAATTTGCTTGTTACTGTAGATTTATAAATTTTATCATAGGCAGATAATAATTTGTTTTAACAAATTTAGCTCAACGGAATGATAATTTACTTTAAAATGAATGATGATGTCAATTTAAGTTGAGTAATTAAGCTATAATTTAATCATCATCAGGATATGGAATCAAAACAATCACATTCAACAAAAACAAAAATATTTTGCATGTACGGTAATTATGTTTTTATAGCTTAAATGCTAATTAAATAAAATTTCACAACAATAGTCCTTGCTTCATAAATAATAATGATATGTTATGATATTTGCAAAAAAATCGTCATTTCTCCTACACCTATTTGTCGTCACGATAAGTCTCCTTTACAATATAATTGTACATCATAACTGAATGATAATAATAGTGTGTTAAATTTCCAACATACACGTCCATATTATATCTCAACTTTCAACCTCTTTGGCCACAGCAGGCCTTGAAAATATTGATATTACACCTCCACCTTCTTCAAGTTTTGTTTGAAATTGAGTCCTTTAGAACCATTTTTATTTTCACTTACAATATCTTTGCAAACCTAGCTAACATCTAAGAATCAATTTTGAAATACTTTTGCTACCAAGCTCTACTATTTCACCTATTAAGTAAATTGAAGCATCTACAAAATGATGAGGTATTGCATGCAGGCAACTTGGCAATAAATTGACCATTAATTTGAATGATTGCATCAAAGACAATTTTAGTCCTGGAAAATTGCTGCAGAAAGTCAGGTCATTAATTTTGTGAGGCACATGTTTACATCCTTTTTGGTGTTTCCAAATAAAACATTCTATTCATTTCATGAAAACCTTGCTGTTGGTAGGATATTAAATCCAAATCTATCTTGTATCAGCTTTGCATGTTTATGGTGATTATTATGGCACACATTTCCATCCTTAAGGTGTTTATCAAAGCATTTATTCTTACTAAATGATGCAAACTTTTCATATTCTATTCCACAAACTTATTATATTGTAATTAAGATAAAAATGTGTATTTTTAACTAAACATTTCACTTGGCATGCTTATTCCAGTATCTTTGAACAACAATAGGATACCTGAACCAGTTAGGACTCTTCCAAAGATTTTCTTTTTATGACAGAAAGCCTTGCTATTATATTTGCATCAGCACTCAGTAAAACCTCTGTGCTTTAGCCAACAAAACAATCAATATATATTAACACTTTTCATATGAATGCAACATGAAAAGAAGAGGATACAGTCAAATCTCCTAACCTCAAATTTTATGAGGCGGAGAAAAAACTTTGAGATATTCAAGGATTCGAGATATCAAGGCAATTCTTGTATACGGAAAAAGTGGATGGGACTTCCAAGTCACCTAGACATATCCATGGTATCTGAGATATAGGTGTTTCATGATACCAAAGTTAAACTGTCATTGTTCATGAATATAAAGAACATTCTGTCAAAAAAATGCCTTCATCAATAGAAAATAACACTGTTCTTCTAATAATGTTTTACATCAAGTGACAAAAAATTCTTGATTGTCATCCCCAAAGGACCCCAAAGGATGTGTGTCAGATTCATGGAAATACTTTCATACTATAGCTACCTTACTTTCAACAATAAAAAAACACAGAGACTAAAGCATTGTCAAGTACTCTTATCTCCTTCCTTTTTTGTAGATATCTTATCAACATATAAAGCACATGATCATCTTTATACTCATCAGAGTACACTGAAAACATAAAATATTAAAGCTAGCAGTTCATGACAAAAAACATTGAAATGACTACATTTTCTGAATTTTTTTTCCTTCTACCTCAACTTCAAATTGAAGAAAACTTAATCTTCCATCATCCTAATTCATATGCACAAACCTTCATAGAAATCCAACATGACAATAGCTTACACAATAGCTGCTCCACAATGGTTGCACAAAGCAGCAAATCTGAGCACCCTCAAAGCTACACACACGGCCCTTCACAATGAAATACAGCTCTTACGTTTTGTCCCAGACCTTCTATCCCTGGCTTTGACAATGCCGAGTGTCCTTCAATGCAGTGTGTGTGAAGTAGAGAGAGTGTGTATGTAGCTCAAGAGGTTCTTCAGATGAGAAAGTACAAACTCTACAGCCCTCCAAACTGACATTAGTCGTGATTCACTCACCTTTCCTCCTAATCCACGACACAAAAGCAATAACAAACAGTCGCTGGATATCCCCCGCCAGTGTCGTGTTAACAAAAGACATAAGCCTCCAGAAGCACCGGATTAGCATAGTACACTATCGATTTCAATTTTGACAAACATTTCATTGACACCTATTATATGCGCCAATATATATATCTGTAAAAAAAGACAAGCCATCGTCGAATGATTTAAATGCACTTACCCGTTCATCTCCACTTTCACTGTCACACTGCAAACAACAAACGACAGCATATTAATATTCATGTGCATGCGAAGGAAGATTGCATTATGGGTAAAGTCATTAATGAGGTTTGTGTGTCAGTAAATTGCACACAATTTTCTGTTGCTTTCTCTTTGTCACGAATCACAAAAATTTGTTGCAGGGCTTGTCGATATTTCGGGCTTCAAATTAAGATTTCAAAATCTGTGTATAATTTCAATGCAGAATAAAATCAATGACCCTGAATGACTGTCAAATTTGTGTTGATGAATTGGGGAGCCGGAGATTTATGGCTAGGCTTATTACAGGGTTAGGTTTCAAGTAGTGTGTCTTCTTTTTTATCAATACAAAGAGACCTCTATGCCTTGTATGGAACTTAAGCTTGTCTAGGTTTACGGCTTCAAGCTGATAATATGAAAACGGAAAACAGGACCTTGAGGGTGACAGATGCAGCACATTAAATTTTTTGCTGCAAGTTGTTGCACCGATCACAATATCAGGATATTACATTTTCTACCCTCAAATTATATTACCAATATCACTTTTCTCGCATGTTCTAATCTGCATTTTGTAGCTTTGGGGGATGACTGCTTTTATTCTCAGCATTTAGCAGAGATCAGAAGTTCAGATTTTGACAAATTAATTGCCAATGACATCATAAATACTGAGACATATTGCATAAACAACTGAAATCTAAATGTTGCCCTTTTTTGTACAATGTTTTACTAAAATAAAAGTCTTACCAAATATCCTCTTCCAGAGCTTGAATGGGTACTGACCTACAATACATGAATATTCACAGTAAATGTTAATGTAAAATCTTAACCAAAAAGATCTTCCGTAATCTCAAGGTACTTTTTTGACAGGTTTTGAAAATTGCAGTGATTGAAAAAACATTTTTTATGGTAATAATGTTGAGAAGGACGCAGCTTGCTAATAAAACAGACACAGAAATTTCTGGTGAATGTTGAATAAATGAATAAAGAGGACTTGTATGATATGGTCATTTCTGCAAAAGATTTCTTCTTATAAAAAAAGGTTTATTCTTAAATAGAAAATTGGACTGAAAATAGATTACGATCACCCTTAGTACTGAAGACCAAACTTACGTCACTCAGTCCTCCATCCCGACATCCCGACCGCTGGTCTGAGAATTCTTCCGTCCTGTCACTGTATGGACTGTGTACTGAGGAGTTATCACTGAATCGATGGTTCAGGGCTGGGGATAAAGGCCTACAGGGCTGTAACAAAATAAAATTTTACATGAATTACAAAACTCTAAATTTTGCATTTTTATACAGTATTGCAAAATTCAAATAAAGAATCATTTTCTTTACTGTGGTTTCATTAATATTCGTTGAGAACAAGTTTTCGAGGATTTCGTTGTTGAGCAGATCCACGAATTCAAATGTTCATTGATTTAAGAAAAATGATATTCATTTGTATGAGCAATGCTTTTGTCCACGAAATTATGTATCCTCGAAAACATCTTTTTACAAAATCCACGAAAAATTGTTGCCAGTGAAAATTGATGAGACCACAGTATTTTTCAAACTAATTGAACTAATTCTGCTGTTTGCATGGATTTAGCATTATGCCGTCATTCAAATGCATTTTTTTCTCTGCTTTCCCCAAATTAGTTATTTTTTGATGTGCTATCTTCACTTCTACTTCTAGCATACTTGCATAAAGCACACAATTCAGCAAATTTTTTATGCTTTTCTCATGTTTCATATATTATTAATCTTCAAATTTCAAAATGAGGAATACAATGTACATCAATTTATTGCATTTCCTTGAGCATGTAATAACCATATATTGCCAATTTTGTTTAGTCTCAATAGCTTGTGTGTTTTTTTAACTGATTTTGTTGGTTTGTTATTGCATGTGTAATATTATATGGATAATATATTTTTTTGAATATTTTATTTGACACCAGTCGCATAAGGAGTGTTTGCCTTTCTCCTTTGTTTGTTTTTAATGATGACAAATGATCCAATATGGAAGTGTCAGACACAGAAAAAAGACTATAGACAATCCATCCTATAATAGCGGATTATCCTCAGATATTTCAACAAAAGTTTCGAATCTCTCAAACATTCATTCTTAATTTTTTTTTTACTTCTTTCTCTCAACAGAAATCTCTCATTTCATGCCTTAAATAACTTTGTTACCCAAAGGTTTATTAATATTTTTTATGGACACATTTTTAAATCTTTGTCTGAAAGAAGACACTGTCAAGATTAGTAAAATGTTATTTAAAAAGAGGCAATACATAATTTATGCTACATTAAGTTACATGGTCATTATCTGTGGTTTCATTTTAATTTTAAATTTTTCCATTTAAGGCACTTAACATGCATATGAACATAATCTCTGACATGTTAAAAAGTACATATCTACAAAAGACCTTTTTAAAAACACTTAGACGACCATTTGTTTTCCTGAAATCACCACCTCCCTTCTACCAGCTACTTTACCGACATGACTTAATCTTGACATATGACATCAAACCCTGCTAAATGTCTTAATTTAACAGATCATATAAACACAAATGCTTTCTTCTGCCAACTTGACAAGACACTGCCTTTTAAAAAAAGGGACAAAACATGATGTTACTCGGAACCTTGATAGGATTTTGTGGTGCGCTAGGCTTCCTGTTCACGGCTTTTACGCGGTGTCTCGGAGACAGGCGAGGACAACAAGCGCACTTCATACACAAGGATTTTCTTATCAATCTGTCACATGCCTGTAAACAGGGGCCGGGACCCAGCTGTGTATTAGTTTATCTTTCCCTCAAAAATCTATGATTAAGAAAAGAATTGATATAAACTTTTTATTACTTTTGTGTTAAAGGGCTCACTTGAACATATCCTGGGATAAAGTCCGGTGCTAGGAAATGGAAGAGCGTGGCTGTGCCCAAGTCATTGCTATTGATTGTTATCTCACGACGGGGATAAAAAAGACTGGATATTGTGCTATGTAATCCCTGCGTTTCCCTGTGATGAGCAGCCTTACCCTCTTTAAGATAAAAAGTGCAATGTTTCTAGCTACTGTAGTATTTTGAAGCGCAAGTTTTTGACAGAGTCTCAGCGAAATTAAACACCAGATCCTTCCAGACAAGTGATATTAACTGTGTTACGCACCACCTTCAATCAGCCAAAAAGCCCAAAGGACGGCCATGGATTAACGTAATCCTTTTAAAATGACAAATAACCTTTTTTAGCAAAAGATTACATGTCTGATGGAGAAATCCTATGAAATTTGAATTTATCAACTGATGAGGCATTTTCAATAATGTCACTTCAACACAATCGGCATTGCTTGAAAACTAAGTTACACCAGATATTTTCTGTTCTTGAAAAGCTTCAAGACTTCCTACACTAAAGTAAGAGATTTTTAGGACAATCCTCTGCACTAGAGATGAAAGATTGTTTATTAGGGCTCCTTTTTCTTTCCCTCTTAAAATTGTGTTTGCGCCACACATGAAATTATTCATTTTACGTGCAAAGACATCTGGCAGATCAAGAGCTCTTCAATTAATGACAACACATTTCAGAAGTCTTGTGTTCTATTATTATAAACTCTGTAAATTGAGGAGCAATCTGTGGTAATGCATTTGAAAAATTTCTGCAATTTTCAAGTTTATATGTCTCAGCATAGTGTTACAATCAACATACTTTGAAGTATTAAGGGATCAATGCCACTGAGGGTGTTTTATAATGAATTAATCGGACAACCCCATGCTAAAGAGTACCTGAATTGACAACCCTCATTATTTCATTCTCTTGGAAACATGCTACTGTACAGTTGATTAGACTCTTTAAAATGCTTCAAAATAAAACTAATGCATTTGCCAATCAATAATTTGCTTTTCGACAAAGTGTTATCATTTAAATGGATGAGTGGTCAAGAGCAAATACACCTTGACACACACATCATTGCTCAAGCTCTACAAATCCTACCTGCTGAAGTGAATGGCTACCAGTAAAAATATCCAACGACAGAGAAATTTCCCTTGTGCTATCAAATGTTCATCACCCTCTTTAAAGAAAACTAAAATACAGATATGTCGCCCTTCCTCACTCGACACTGTGAATCGATACGAGGCCCAGGGTTTGTAACCGATATTAATTCTCTCCAAATGTATTGATCCCCATACAGTTCACCATACATGGCAATAATATCTGCCTGAACGGTCCAACTCTTCAAGCAAGTAATCAAATTTACTTTAAATTTCTGCCGAGACTAGACAATGAGCAAATAGGAAAAGAAGAGCTGATCTGCTTCCAGTGAAAAAATGCCCATCAGCAGACACTGATTTTATAGACCGGCTGACCACTATCTCTTATTGCTCCCTGTCCTACTGTACGCTGGGAATGCTTGCCTTTAGGTTGACAATCCTGCTCTTTATATCAGATTCAAAATAATTGTCTCTTTCTCCCAGCCCAACAGGGATGTACCTAATGAGAAGGAGCACTCATTCAGTGGCAGACTTCTCTTCTCAGTGGCAAAAAATAGACTATACCATCACATCAAAAGCTCTAGATGCTTCTTCATTTAAAATGATTATGCCATTAAAGTATAAAAAAGCACAAAGGACTGCCATCAATTGGTAGCACATTTATCAGATTTAATGTGCATATTTTATTTCATGAAAAAGATTTAGGACTTCAGAGGAGCATTTAAATGCATATTCACTCAATTGTGAACTAAATTTCATTTAAATTTCAGTTCATGTCTCAAATTATCTTAAAACATGTAATTAAATTTCAATCCCATGAAAGCATGTTGTATTATAAATCTGTCCTGATATCATGGATATGGAAATTTTTATACCAATAACATCTAATTTCTTCCATAAAAAATGATTTCTTTAATCATTTTTATGCATAATTCATCTTTTAAGCTTTTTGTTCAACCTGCTAATTACAAGTTGCTGTTTTTTTACCTTGATTTCTGATTATCAAAGCTGCTAAATGTGGGCACATTGATCATCAAATTTGAGTCCAAAAAAAATAAAAAGAAGAAAGAAGAAAAATAATGTGTTTCGTACTAAGTTCAAAGGGGGAAAAAATGAGACTTTTTGAATGCCAAATTTGGCCTTGGTAAGAACTGCACTCAGGCACCCTGACTTAAGGAATGCAAAATCAGTCCATTAAGTAGCTTAAAATGATTAAAGAGCCACAAATGTATTGTTAAATTTTCTTTATAAATGGATATGCTTACATGTCCAGTGTACACATTTCATTTCCTTGTCCTAATAAACTGTGAAATACCTTTCAATAATTGTTATTTTAAACACAAACTTTTTTAGTGTGAAGGATTGATATGTACTATCCCTGCAATTAAACACACAAAAATAGCGCAGAATTAAAAAAGGCTTTTTTATGAACTAATTAAATAACAGCCAAGATTATGATAGGAAGATGCATGTGTATTTTATTCAATTATGTAAGCAGTTAAGCTTCTTAAATACTTGCACCTTTTGAAATCAAAAGTTTCTGAAGGCAAGCTTGTGATGACAGTGGCGTAGCGTCCATTAAGGCAAAAAGGCAAATGCCTACACATAATTTTGGTCAAAATATATGGTCATGTTTTTTATGTTTTTTAAAATAAGATTAATGTAATAAATTAATTTGTCAATAATAAATAAAATCAAAAAAATGAAATTCAGTACATATGTATTTTATAGCTGTAAAACATAATTTACAGTCTTGTTTCTTTTAGTGGCGTTAGCAGTCAAACTGAGTACCCCATACAAAGATGCCCTGAGACATTCCTGCAATCTTTGACAAATTAAGAAAAATCGAGTTTTCCCAACAAAGTAGAAACCTTTTGATGTTTTAATACCAATTAACCAAGTTACTGTAGTGTAATGTGTTTTCGTTCAAATGAAACCGAAATTTAGTATCAAACTTACATGCAGTTTCAAACCTTTAAAACGTTCTTTCCATTTTTCCGTTCTCTCAGCAGCATTCCTATATATTTATATTAAATAATTAAAACTTTAAAATTTGTTTTACACAGGTTCATGCAAAGGGAGAGTGAGAATCGGCTATGACCAAATCTCTTTCGAGACTCTCTCTCTCACTCTCTCTCTCTCTCTCTCTCTCTCTCTCTCTGTATAAAATTTATCTGTTTCTACAAAACAATGAAAATATATTACTCAAACACCAATTTTTCTAATTATTTATTCAAATTTATATCAAATAATATAAATGCCGATATTTTCCAAATA